AGCTGGACAGCCCCCCACGGGGGCCGGTTGGACAAAGCTTCCAGGGGACATCCCAGCAGCCACCACCAGAAGCGTCCACCATCACACTGAAACTGTGCTCAAGGTAAGCGAGAGCGAGAGCAGATCTCACATGTGCTGTCACTGTTTTATACTTTAGTCGTCTTGACTCCCCAGGGTCAACGCCATCTACTGATAAAAGTACTTTCTGCTGCACTGGTAACATTTTATTATAACATGTGAAAGATTCATGATGCTCTCCATATGCAGATACTTTGTCATTAGTCAAATGGATCACGTGTGCAGGTGCCTGGGGAGGCTGGGGCCAACCGACATCTTTATGAGGATTATATAGTCTATGCAACTAAAAATAGCTAAGTTGAAATTTTTCAGTAGGGCCTACACTTTTCTGCATAAGGGAAAAATAGTGCCTGTTAAATCCAGGGAGTATCTTCATTCTGTCAATCGTGACCCCCAGAAGAAGAAACAATTTATAAAAGGTTAGGAGGGCGGGGAATGGTCAGAAAATATCAGAAGGTAAGTTCATAGTTGAGGGAAGAACTTGCCTCTAAGCCTCTTCTCTTCCACTTATGGACCTTGCCACAGATCCTTCTGGAAGAACAAAGTCACAGAAGGATGATGACATTAATGCGTCTCTTTAAGAATGCCTATTTTGGGGGGTGCTTGGGTGGCTCAGTCAGTAAGCGTTCAACTCTTGATTTCGGCTCAGGTCATGAGATCGAGCCCCGTGTCGGGCTCTGTGATGGTTGTGGAGTCTGCTTGAGATTCTCTCTCTCTCTGCCCCTCCCAGTCTCTCTCTCTCTCTCTCTCGTGTGTGAGTGCGCACGAGCTCTTAAAAATATATATATAAAAGAGCACCTATTTTTTACATGACTTGAATTTCTAGAAGCTTGCTTTATGATAAAAATTATAATCTGTAGGTGCCAATTTTTTTTCCACTTGGTGTTTTATGTTTGTTTATATGGCTGATTTTGGTCAGGAGTGCCTTGGAAAGAGAGGGAGGATGTGGCCCTTTGCTGCGTTTTGGGTGGAAACCATGGCACCAGACTCGGCGCCCCCATGCTGGATTTCTGGAAGAATGCTCACGGCCAGCTGTGGACCCCGGACGGCGCCCCCTGCCCCACCTCTTTTGTTTCGTCAAAGCTGGTGCTGCCCTATTGCCCACAGAGGGGAACCGACCAGGGATCTCCAGATGCCCCTGAAAATCAGTAGACCATCACTACTCATTAGACAAATGCAAATTATAAGCACAATGAGAAAAATGAAACTAGACACGGGACTCAAACCCTTCACAAAATCAGTTCAGAATGTATCACAGGCCTCAGTGTAAAACACAGGACTGAAGCTCCCAGAACATCACATGGGAGGAAATCCAGACGACCCCGGGCACGCAGTGGCTCTCAGATACAAACCAGAGACACGATCCATGAAAGAAGTCACAGATGAGCTGGACTGCATGGAAATTAAACACTTCCACTCCACAAAAGACCGTATCGAGAGAATTAAAAGACGAACAGCAGGCTGGAAAAAAATATTTGCAAAAGACACATCTGATAAAGGACTATTCTCCCAAATAGACTAAGAACTCCTAAAACTCAACGGTAAGAGAACAAACAACCTGATTAAAAAATGGGCCAAAGACATTAATAGACACGTCACCAAAGGTATACAGATGGCAAATTAGGCCATGAAAAGATGCTCCACATGGAGCCATCAGGGAAACGCAAGTGAAAACAACCATGCCAGACCAGTGCACACTTACTCGAATCACCCAAATCCAGCACACTGACGGCACCAAATGCTGGCAGGGATGCGGAGCAACAGGAACTCTCATTTATCGCTGGGGAACACAAATGCCTACAATTACTTCGGAAGACTGTCTTGCGGCTTCTTACAAAACTAAACAGACCCTTGCCCTACAGTCTGGCGTCACACTCCTTGGTATTTACCCAAAGGAGCTGAAAACATGTCCATGCAAAAACCTGTACACGCATGTTTATAGCAGCTTTACTCATAACCACCCGAACTTGAAACTAATAACAAATAAATAAAGGAGCAGGAAAACCATAGCAGTTATTATAGGAGGGACATCTCAGGTATCATAGAGTTTGGCTCCCTGAATGTACAGAGACAGACCAGGGTCTCAGAGGGATTTATTAACTTATTGAGATGGTAGGAGAGTCCACCTTGGAACCAGCCCTGTAATTTGGGGTTCCTTGGCTTCTAAATCCCATGATGTCTCTAGAGATAAAAGCCTAAGTGTGTGCGTTCACAATCTTTCTACAATAATGCAGAACTGCAAGATCTTGCACCAGGCAGCTGACGCATACGATCGCCCCTGTGGCATTCCAAACAGTATTTATCCCAATCCATTTCTCAAGGAATATTCACACTAATTTGTAAGTGATCTGACCTAATAGACCCCCTCCCTGGTCTTGCAGCTTGGTAATCCACTCCCCCACACAAAGCAGCTTCCCGGGCCTGCAGAGAGCATACGGCTGTTTGAAAGTGAGCCAAATGAGGGAACCCGAGAGGTTCATGTGACATTTGTAACACAATTCAGTTCCTAAATCATTCCCACGTGTGAGGTTCAAAGGGAACACTGTGCTACCCTGCTATCAGTTTCAATTATGCTGCCCTGGGGGCTAAATCTAAGAACCTAAGGAAATTGCTGTTTCCAGTATTGGGGTAAATTGCAGAGCTTCAAATGCTTCGTCCGTTTTATGCTTGTTTCTCTTGCAAAGCTGCTCTGCTCTGCGCTCCTTTGCACTCGTTTCTCTATTCATCTCTTAGCAATTATTTCCAGTTGTCTGGACTCTGCCTGCAGCCCATGGAGCTTCCAGCCGTCAGCGGGAAGAGCCTCCGTCTTCCTGGACAGGACATTGCGTGCGGACGCAGTCCTGAGGCTGGCTGTCGTAGTCAGTGCGCTAGCCCTCTCTGTGCTCCTCCTGCCGAGCTCTGGGGACAGCCCCGGCACCTGACTCCCTCCCACCTGACCTTCCCATAACCAGAGGCTCCTTCGTCGGTGCCTCACGGCCACCCAAGCGCTGTCTACGACTCTGCAGGTTGCCTCTGACTCTGCCCCACGAAGGTTCCAGAACCACAGGGACTTCCGTGAGGGTCCCGCTCACTGCAGCGCCCCCAACGCCCCGCACAGGACTCACACACATGAAACAGCCATCAGTGATCGTTCACTGAAGGATGAGAAAACAAGCAGTGAGTTACTTGGTCTTCCTTCCTTCCTTCGTTCAACTCCATCAACCCTCACCTCCCTAGTCTCCTGAAATGTGTCTTCATTGCTGTCAGCAGAGCATGCAGCCTCCTCCAAATGCTTGGATACTGCTCTGGTCCTTGAGTGCGAAAGTCAGGACTCATCTCTGAGACACCCATTAATATGATCTGCTGGCTGTTTTTAAATTTGTTAGCTTTAATATCTTGACCCCACAACGGTTGCATCCCACCCCTTCTTTCTGGACACAAATTGCCCAAACAGAGGCTGATCGGCTCAAAAAAAAAATTCCTTTTTCTTTTGAGAATCATCTTTGACCAACTATTCCAGAAACTAGCTAAACTTAGGCTGACCTAGTTGTTAGGGCTCTATAAAAATTCACCACTTCTTCCCCAAGACAGAACATTCCTAGTGAGTGGTGTCAAGCTCTGGAATTCTGATAAAAGATTTATACTTAAGCATTCTCTGTGCTCTGGTTCCCCTTCTTTCCCCAGACCAAGCCAGTTATTTGTCAGTAAGGGAAACTGAGACATAGGGTTTTCTAATATGGGCTTAATAGTCAATGACTTTGTCCCATGGAATTTTAACAAGTGCTGGATCCTGGGTCCAGAATTATGGAAGTAATTCCGTGCATCACTAAGGGACCCTCATCCCTGCTTGAATAGCATTAGTGTTCCCAAATTTTTGGATGTGGGGGATTATCGGGTTATATTACCATGGGTCAAGTTACATTCATCCTCTGGTATCTTCTAGTCCAGCTTCAAGTTGACCCTCACCAGTCCATCCCTTTGACCATCAGTTAGGCAAAAGATGCAGGTGAGCAAGAACCTGCCACAGTTCTAGCTTATTTATCTGTGGTTGCTGTTAAACAAGGGTGCACTTGAGGAAACAGTCCGTCTATGCAACAAAGTCCTGTAGCTGTAGTAGGTCTTGTGATATAGAGTTCACATATTTTACTTAGAAACTTCTTACAAAGAAAATACAACTTCCTCACTTCCCTTTGAAAATCTGGAAGAAAAAAATCTTAATCTACAGATATGTCCTGAAATAAAAAGCAAAACTTAACTGCTCTTATATACAACAGAGTCATGCTCTTTTGTTAAAGTCATCCATCCGGAAAAATAGAAACATGATTTAGACCTTTTCTGAGCCTGTTCCTTTACCTGTTAACCTTTGGAAAGTGAATTAAAGCTGGTGGAAGGTGCTGAGTTAACTGCTATTGAATCAGGGACCATGGAGACAGATGTCTGCTCTGGAAACATGCGGTGAGCTGGGCACATGCCAGGGAACTAAAAACATCCGAAGGACCTTGCCATACATCAAATGCTCGTCTGAAATTCAGAGCACACCCATCCGCAGAATGTTTCTCCAGGAACAACTGTAGCAGTGACTGTAATCCTGGTAAGGAGCAACAGTACATACTAACACTGTTTTATTTTAATTTTTTAAGATTTATTTATTTTTTTGAGAGAGGAAGAGTATGTGAGTGGGGAGAGAATCTCAAGCCGGCTCCCTGCTGAGTGTGGAGCCCAACCCAGGGCCCAATCCCAGGACCCTGAGATCAGGACGTGAGCCGAAACCAAGAGCAGAGACCAAGAGCTGGATGCTTAACTAATTGAGCCACCCAGGTGCCCCCAAACTAACACCATTTTAAATGCCTACTTTCTTCTGACGCTTTACGTGCGTTAATTCAGATGATGGGGCCATTATCAAAACTCCTATTCATTTAGATTAAAACTCCTATCCAGGTCACCCCGCCGGAGCCACCTCTGCCAGCAGCATGTTCAAGGTAATTCAGAGGTCTGTGGGGCCAGCCAGCCTGAGTCTGCTCACCTTCAGAGTCTATGCATCACCTAAAAAGGACTCACCTCACAAAACTTCTGTGAAAGTTAATGAGCTTTCACTCTACTCCGTCCCTGAGGGTCAATCTAAATATGTGGAGGAGCCAAGGACCCCACTTGAAGAAAGCATTTCACATCTCCGACATTACTGCGAGCCATATACAAGTTGGTGTCAGGAAATGTACTCACAAACTAAGCCCAGGATGCAGAGCTTGGTTCAATGGGGGTTAGGCAGCTATGAATATCTCCAAAATGCACCTCCTGGTTTTTTTCCAAGACTTGGTGTTATTGGTTTTGCTGGCATTGTTGGACTTCTTTTGGCTAGAGGTTCAAAAATAAAGAAGCTGGTGTATCCACCTGGATTCATGGGACTTGCTGCCTCTCTTTATTATCCACAACAAGCCATCGTATTTGTCCAGCCAGGAAATGTGAAGAATTCACCTGGAAATAAATAGAATGCTCCATGCTCTGCCCATTTTAATCAGTTATAGGTAAACATTGGAAACTCCATGCAGTAAACCAGTATTTCTACAGAGAAATGGCAGAGAAGTCAGTACTGAATATAGTAAATTGGCTTTCTTCTTCAGGACAAACTATACTAGGCTTCTTTGTTATCTTGGGTGATGCCATATTGCAAGTGGACTAATCGGAAATCCTTTCACCTAGAGATAATGTCTAGCCTTAGAACTCCTCGTTCTCAAGTTGCTATTTATGTACATAATTAAAATTCCAAATTAAAAAAAAAAAAAAAAACTCCTATCCAGTTGCCAAGATGAAAACCGATTTAAAAATGTTCTCATAAGGTGGACAATGTGACACAGACGTTCACCCAGTCTGCCAGTCCGAGTTCCTGGTCATGAGAAGGCAGACCAAGAGGCGGGTGTACCATTAGGCTTCACCATGTCTTGTTTCCCTAGAGCCTCCAGCTCAAAATGCTGTCAGGATTCTGTTCAGAGAAAAAGAATTAGAAGTGTCACTTTATATACATCATTAACTTTATGTATATCATTAACCACTAAAGAAATACTGTGCAATTAAGTTTCATCTTGCATAGTCAGAGTGAAGGAGTGTCCTGGAGTTTTGTTTTGTTTTGTTTTGTTTTTTTCTGGTGTGTGGTTGATTTCTTATTTATTTTTTGTTTGTTTTCAGAAAACCCACACCAAAAGTTTGGGTAGTGTGGTGAGTAGAACTCAAGCCATAAACCACACAAAATCGTCTGGCCTTTTAAAGCCATGTTCATCATACCCTGTTGGAAAATGAGTATTTTGCATTTATGCTTGGCTTCTAGTCTAATATTTATGGCAAAGATCAGCTTTGGTTACATGTATCTGAAAACGGAAGTTAAAAAATGTTCAGAAGCCAGAGTGTAATTTAATACACATGATAAGGAAAATCTGTGTCTTAAGATGGCTGACTGAGCCAGCAGGAGAGTCCCAGCCCCTGCCCTGGGGCTTTTCTGGGTTCCTCTCCCTGCTCTGCTTCCTGCGCGCACCATTCTGGTTTCTTCTCCCTGCCCCGCTTCACGCACACGCCGAAAGTGCCACGTATGCGGAAGTAGAAGTTTATAAATTGCCCCCTTTTGTTTGTGCTCAGGGCTCAGACCTTTGAAGACCATTCTCCTCTGAGCCCACCAGCCTTAAATAAACCTCCTATCCTCCAAGATCTCGGAGTGCTGCTTGGTTCTTCCGACAGGTGATCCAGTCCAGGTTCCGTAACATTTGGTTCCCTGACTGGAACACCCAAACATGCTGGCCCATTGTTGCCACCAGTTTCAGGGCAACTTGGTGGGGTGGTGATGGGATGAGGGATCGTAACAGAGAAGGTGGGCCCTGCTTAATTTTCGGCAGTCTCCTGCCCCGGTCACCTTGGGCCGGCCCCACTCCGCTGTTCCTGCCGTACTCGAGGAGACTTGGCAGGTGAGGACCTGGTCCCGATGTTGGATTCTGGTAAGGCCTGGGGCTCCAGGGCCCAGACAGGCTCACTCCCATTGGGGTGGAAGGGGAGCCTGATCACCTCCCAGAGACCTCTTAGAGGTCTCACAGGTAGGGATTCCCAGGGAGGGAATGTAATTAATTTCTGGAGTGTGAATGTGTGACTGAATGTGCAGTCCGACCTGGCTTCCTCAAGCAGACTGATTCTGTGACTCAACGGGTGGGCACCCTTAAGGTCTCCAGAAATCTACGGAGTCTGAGTGGGCTGGTCTGCGATTCCGTGGTGAACGGCGTACAGTCTATGGCGGCATTGGAATAGTTTCCGATCATAAGTCACAACGCTGAGACCGCTATGGCTAAGCCTCACCTAAGCTCCTTCAGGGCACGGCCAGATGGGCATCTGATTGGTCTCCTCACCCCAGGAGGTACCCCCGCTTTGTCTGTCTCTGCACCATCGCACACAGGGACATCACCATGGGGTCAGGGCAGAGTAAACCTACGGTTCTAGAGACCATGATCAAAAATTTCAGGAAGGGGTTTTCAGAAGACTATGGAGTCAGGATGAACCCTGGCAATCCCAACAATTTGTCGAGTATGGCAAGCCGTAACAGAAGAACCAGGACACCCTGACCAGTTTCTGTACATTGACTCCTGGCTAGGAATTGCTCAGACCCTTCCCCCGTGGGTGCAATTCGCTTGCAATAGGCAGGGATAGGCCAGGGACTTAATCACCTCATCCAAGTGACCTAAAGAAAATCAGCAAAAGCCCACAAATCCTAGCCGGAGATCCCAAGGACAAACTGATCCTGCCCCTACCGTATGCACCCCCAAGACCATCTACACCTGGCCCTTCGGCTCCAGACTCTCCGCCACCATCGGTTTCACCTGCGCCCCAATGCCCAGAGGATCCACTTTCTCCAGGACCAGCAGCCAGGCTGCCCCCCAGGCCGACACAGGCACCCTCCAAATGCTGGTACGAGAGACACAGGAACCCGAGAGGCATGATGAAGACAGGATGGTCCAACCCAGCCATTCCATGATGTCTTATCAGCCCTTCTTCACCACCGACCTCCTCAACTGGAAACATAATACCCCATCCTACTCTGAGAAACCACAGGCTGTGGTAGACCTCATAGAATCCCTATTCCAGACTCATCAGTGAGCCTGGGAAGACTGCCAGCAGTTACTCCACACTCTGTTTAACACAGAGGAAAGGAGGAGAATGATGAAAGGTGCACAGCAGTACCTGGAAGAGCACGCACCAGCGGGGGTCATTGACCCTGTTGCCTGGGCTAATATGGCTGCACCCAAAGCGCGGTCGCCCAGCATGGGACTTCATCACAACCGAGGGACAGGCCCACATCCGCCGGTACCAGGAGGCCCCCCTCCGGGGTATCCAGGCAGGAGCTAAAACCCATGAACATGACTAAGGTATCGTTGGTAACTCAACAACTGGGGGAGTCCCCCGGGGACTACTACGAGAGATTATGTGAAGGCTACAGGATATACACTCCATTTGACCCCAAGACACAGGAAAGCCAACAGATGATAAACACCTCCTTTGTGGCTCAGGCCGCTCCAGACATCAGAAAAAAACTTCAGAAACTAGAGGGTTTTGCCAGGATGAACATTACCCAACTAATAGAGATTGCCAATAAGGTCTACATGAACAGGGAGGTCACAGCTGAACGGGAGGCCGACAAAAAGATGAAAAAGAAAGTCAGCCTCCTTGCCGTCGCCCTGAAAGAAAAGGACAACACAAAGATGGGGAGACTCCAACCACTGAAAGGGGGGAAGCCCAGAACCCCCTTGACAAGGGATCAATGTGCCTACTGTAAAGAGAAAGGGCATTGGAAAAACTAATGTCCCAACCGGGGAAAGGCTCAAAAGCCCAGCTGCTGCAAGAAAGAACCCGAGAGGAGGACCTCATAGGCCTTGTAGGAATGGACTCAGACTGAGGGAGACTGGGCTCTTTTCTCCTTGGCCCCCATGAGCCCATGGTCAGAATGAAGGTGGGGGGCCAACCAGTGACTTTTATGGTTGATACTGGGGCTGAGCACTCTGTTGTCACCTCCCCAGTGGCACCTTTCAGCAAAAGGACTGCGACCATCCTCGGGGCCACCAGGACGTGGGCAATACAACAGCCCTTTTGCCAGGCTCGTCAGTGCAGACTTGGGGGCCACAAGGTCTGACACAAATTCTTTTATCTGCCTGATTGCCCCATCCCTCTCCTGGGCCGAGACATACTCTCCAAGCTTAGAGCTCAGATAACCTTTGAGCCCACTGGACACACTAGCCTCTGACTGAACCCAAGGCAAGAGGAGACGGGGTTTCTAATACTAGCAATTACCACACCAAGGGAAGAAGAATTGAGGCTATTCTGTGCCCAGGCCCAACCGAGCAGCCTGACGGAATTCAGACTCGCCTTCCCTTCAGTATGGGCTGAAAACAACCCACCTGGACTAGCCCAGAATCGAGCCCCTATCATTCTTGAACTGATCCCAGGGGCCCAACCGCAGAGGCAAAGGCAATATCCCCTTCCACAAGACGCTAAGATCGGCATCCAAGAACATCTGACCAAACTCAAAGAAGCAGGTATTCTAATCGAGTGCCAGTCAGCCTGGAATACCCCACTCCTGCCAGTCAAGAAGCCAGGAGGTGGATTCTGACCAGTTCAAGACCTGTGGGCCATCAACGAGGTGACCATCTCTCTGCACCCAGTGGTGCCAAATCCATACACCCTCCTCGGCCAAATCCCAGCATCGGCCAGATGGTTCACTTGTCTAGATTTGAAGGATGCCTTCTGCCTCCACTTAGCTCCCCAGAGCCTGCCACTATTTGCCTTTGAATGGTCTGAACCTGATACAGGGCGCCAGATGCCACTGACTTGGACGCGCCTCCTGCAGGGGTTTAAAAGCTCACCACCCTCTTTGGGGAAGTTCTGGCCGCGGACCTCGCCAGCTTCCCAAGAGAGGCCACACGATGCACCCTCCTCTGGTATGTGGATGACCTCCTCCTTGCCAGTGACACACAAGAAGACTGCACTAAAGGCACAAAGGCCCTCCTACAGCTCCTGTCAGACTCAGGATACTGAGCCTCATGGAAGAAGGCACAAATCTGCCAACAACAGGTCCGACACCTTGGCTTCCTCCTCGCCCTAGGGAAGAGAGAACTAGGGTTGGAGAAGAAAAGGATCATCATCTCCCTGCCACAGCCCCATACAAAAAGGGGCCTACAAGATTTCTTGGGGGCTGCAGGATTCTGCCGCATCTGGATCCCTGGGTTCTTGGCAATAGCAAGACCCCTCTATGATCTCTTAGGGGGACCAGATCGAGAACCCCCTGCCTGGACTGAGGAAGCAGAAGCTGCTTTCACAGAGATAAAGACCACCCTGGGGCAGGCTCCAGCCCTGGGCCTACCAGATACAGAAAAACCCTTCAATCTCTTTGTGCATGAAAAGGAAAAAGTAGTGCTTGGGGTACTCACACAGACTGTTGGACCCTGGCAACGGCCAGTTGCCTACCTGTCAAAGAAGCTGGACCCCGTGGCAGCGGGATGGCCACTGTTCCTCAGGGCGCTGGCAGCCACAGTCCTACTCATCAAGGAGGCAGACAGACTTACTCTGGGGCAAGAACTTAACTTCAAGTTCCCTCATGCAGTTGTGTCCCTCATGAACGCACAGGGACACCGCTTCCTTTCCAACTCTCGGCTAGCACGATACCAAGGGCTCCTCTGTGAAAACCCACAGGTCACCCTCGAAACAGTAAAGAATCCAGAGCTCGGGCGCCTGGGTGGCTCAGTCGTTAAGCGTCTGCCTTCGGCTCAGGTCATGATCCCAGGGTCCTGGGATCGAGTCCCACATCGGGCTCCCTGTTCGGCGGGAAGCCTGCTTCTCCCTCTCCCACTCCCCCTGCTTGTGTTCCTGCTCTCGCTGTCTCTCTCTCTGTCAAATAAATAAATAAAATCTTTAAAAAAAAAAAAATTAAAAAAAAAAAAAAGAATCCAGAGCTCACGTGGTCCAGCGATGGCAGCAGTTACCTACCAGAGGGTGCCCGGAAAGCGGGTTATGCAATAACCACAACCACTGAAGTCCTAGAAGCTAAGGCATTACCAGCTGGATGGTCAGCTCCACGGGCTGAATTATATGCCTTAGTCCAAGCCCTCAGCCTCGGGGATGGCAAGCGAGTCAACATCTATACAGAAGCCACCCTGACTGAAAAGGGACGGTGGATGATGCCAGAGGGGCGCATCTCGGTTCCAACAGCAACGGGAGGGCATCTAGTCAAGGAACACCACCGACTCGCTCATCTGGGACAAACTGCATTAGAGGCCCTTCTCAAGAAGCACTACTCCATCCGTCGGCTGCCGGCACTGTGCCGAGCACCGAGTGAACGATGCATAACATGTGCTAAAAATAATGCTCGGTCTGCACCACGGTCCCCGCCAGGTGTCCAGAGGATGGGAGCAGCCCCCTTCGAAGATCTAGAGGTAGACTTCACAGATGTGCAGCCGAGCGGGGGGTTCAGATATCTCCTAGTAATAGTATGCACATACTCTGGGTGGGTCGAAGCCTTCCTGACCAGGACGGAGCAAAGCCGGGAAGTAGCTGAAGTCCTCTTGCAGGAGATCGTGTCCCAGTTCGGCCTGCCATTAACAATCCACAGTGACAGTGGACCCACATTTGTGGCAGATGTTGTACAAATCTTGACCAAATCTCTCAACATCACCTGGAGACGCCACACCGCTTACTGGCCCCAAAGTTCAGGGAAAGTAGAGCAAACGAATCACACCCTCAAGGGAACCTTAGCGAAGTTTTGTCAGGAGACTAACCTCCCATGGCCGGATCTGCTACCCCAGCTCTCCTGCGTGCTCGCATGCCCAGGACATCAGGTTTCTCTCCATTCGAATTAATATATGGACAGCCTCCCCCGTGCTTGGGAAGCCTTCCAGGAAACTTGCATCAGGTTGGAGATAAAGGGATAAAGGAGAAACGTCAGGCCCTGGGGGCCAACGTAAATAAATTACAAAAGTACACCATTGAAAGTGCCCCAATCTCCATAGGGTCTCAGGTACACTTCTTCCAGACAGGGGACTCAGTCTGGGTCAAGGATTGGAAGAAAGACCCCCTCAAACCGCAGTGGACAGGGCCCCACACAGTTGTTCTAACCACCCTTACTCTCCTCAAGGTCTCAGGTGTCACCCTGTGGGTCCACCACTCAAGAGTGAAGAAAGCTCATCTTTTAGACGAGGAGCCACACCAGTGGAGAGTCCAGCCATGGTCCCTGGCTCTCATCGGCGTGATTTCCCTCATCTTGGGAGTCGGACTCTGCACCTCCTGACTGGACTTTCCCCCGGAGGCTTCTACCTAAGGTCATAGATCCAACTTTTACTGGCCCTCTGCTGTCTACTCCTGAGTGCATTTCACCATGGTTTTCCCGGCCCCAGTCAGTCCTGGTCTTCTGCAACCTGGTGTGCTGTTAAGTTTATGATTAAGTCCATGTTCACCCCAAGCCTTGCTGTCAACCCTCAGAGTCAAACAGAATGATGCCCTCTAAACTAGGAGTTTAAAGGGGCATCAAAGGGGAGGAATGATAAGGAAAATCTGTGCCCTAAGATGGCCAACCGAGCCAGCAGGCGAGTCCCAGTCCTTGCCCACGGCTCTCCCTGGGTTTTTCTCCCTGCTCTGCTTCCCACAAGCAGGTTCTTCTCCCTGCCCCGCTTCACGCACGCACCAAGAGTGCCAAGTATGCAGAAGTAGAAGTGTATAAATTGCCCCCTTTTTTGTGCTTGGGGCTCAGACCTTTGGAGACCATTCTCCTCTGAGCCCACCAGCGTTAAATAAACCTCCTAGCCTCCAAGATCTCCGGGTGCCGCTTGATTCTTCCTTCAAGTGATCCAGTCCAGGTTCCGTAACACACACAGAAGTAACAGTGTGCATTTTCTCTTCAATTTGATGACTTAAAAGATCCTGGGCTGTCTGCTTTGCTGTCCGTTGAGAGAGGACGGGGGCTGTGATCGACATGGTCGCCATGGACCGTGGTATTTTCTGGTCCCCCAAGCAGGTGTCACACTGTGGCAAGGTCTCAGGAAAACACATGTGTGACCGTGAGCAGTCCTATTTGCCCCCCTCAGTTTTCGCGGCTGGCAGCTGGCTCCATCAGAGCTGGTGTGACCAACACGGCCACGTAGCAAGTAAAAGGGGATGAAGCCTTCCTGACCAAGTCCCCCTTCATTTTCTGACACACATACGACAACAGACTTAAAATACCAACTCGGCATCCTCACACTCGCCGACCGTCATTCTTCTGGCAGTGTCAGATGCTAAACAATGAAAAAAGTGCCCTTTTTGTCCGTGACCAAAACAAAAGGAGTAACAGCCCTGTGTCAGATGCTCTGTATTCAATTTCTGTATTTTAACACAGTCACGAAAACGAAGCATGGTAACATTTTTACATGTTTCGTTTTTCTTTCATTTTTTTTTTTTAAATGGAATTCCCCCATGATAGGAAGCTCTTCCTTCAGGATGTTGTGTTATTTATTATTCTGACCCCATGCTGCTTCCTCTTTCTGAAGTCATACTTTGAGCCAGGAATGACCTATCTAGTGCATCTCACACCCGAGCAGATCACAGATTAATACCACCTCCTCTGTGGGACAAAATTATTCCCAGCAGTAATTATTTTATGTTAATGAAACATAATAATAATGGTAGGAAAGAAACACAATGAAAATTCCCTTTTATTGAATTTGTTATATGTATATATAATCATGCCAGTTAAAAATAAAGTAAAATAAACAATTATAATACAAAATACACTAAGACACTAATACATTTTTTGAAAAACAAGGGAAACTTGTAGCTACATGTTGGTCTAACACCTGAATGAATTACACTGCAATGTCTAGTTTGATCCTTAACTTCTGCATATTTGTCAAAATTAACATTTCAGCACATTCATGTTCAATGGACATATAACAAGGTCTGTCCTGTCTCTTCACCCACAGCTAATCGAAAAACACTTCTAAATTTTAATTTCAGGGACACCTGGGTGGCTCAGTCGGTTAAGCGTCTGCCTTCGGCTCAGGTCATGATCTCAGGGTCTTGGGATCGGGTCCCGCATCAGGCTCCCTGCTCACCAGGGAGTCTGTTTCTCCCTCTCCCGCTGTCTCTTCCCCCTGCTCATGCTCTCTCTCTCAAATAAATAAATAAAATCTTTAAAACTAAATAAATAAATAAATTTTAATTTCAAAAAAATCTTTTTGCTCAGGAGGGAACAGATATATGAATTGTTAGGAAAATCTTACATACAAGCGTGAGTTTGTCAGAGATTTATACAAATCACATTTCACAATGAATTCCAGAAGTTGAAATAGTGTTGGCATCTGTGTATCTTTGGGATTGGTTCTAAAGGCCTTCAAATGTCTCTGTAGTTGGAGCATTTTCCTGAAGATATCTGCCCTAGAAACTTCACCATCAGTTTCTATTAAGGGAAAACATCCAAAGGAATCTGAGAATATGGCTGAAGCTTGACAAATATTTAAGCCATCACTTTAGGAGAAGTGTCCAGTTCTGGGTGAAATTAATAAAAATATTCAAACAAGCCCCGTCGTTCCTTCTGCCAATGCGAGGCCACATCTTTTGTCCTTTCCCCTGACATTCTGCCTTGAAATCTGATTCTTTTCTTTCTGGGTAATTTTCCATTTGCTTATATTTTATCGTTGCAGAGCTAATGGCTTTCTCCACCGTGTCTGTGTGCTGATCTTCAAGGAACGATTTTAAAGCTTGGGTTTTACTATATGATTTTTAGCGTTGGTTCTGGATATTTGTAAATATTTTTTATCTGATTTACTTGATTTAAAATTTCACGTCAGAAAAAAAGATGGCTCGGAAGAAACATGGTGTAGAGAGAACAAAATCGAAGGAGCACCTCTGGTGGCCTTGTTGACATTCAGATGGTAATGCACTTCAAAGGTGGAGGTAGACTTTTCCACATTTGCCTTCACTCCATGTGGAGCTTCATAATGAGCATATCATTTCAGCAGGGGGAGACTTTTCATGGTTATACCTCCATCGTAGAGCATTTTTCACCTATAGAGAGAGATGGAAAGGAATAAATTATTTTCCAAATGTTAAAAAAGCCACCAGGAAGGAAAACTTCAAGTGGTCATACAGAAGAACAGAACTGAAGGAACTCAAGTTCTGTTGCTTTGTGTTTCTAACTTCTATTGCTACCAAGTTAAGTTTTGCATTTCCTGTTTAAATGCAGAAATCTATAACTCTGCAGCTGGAGGCATGGAGTGTTCCCAAAGCAAGCTCTAACAATGCTGAACTCCTACCAATCTGCTCTCAAAATAAATGCGGGAACGTTCACTCATCACTGGTGGGAATGCAAAGTGAGACAGCCACTTTGGAAGACAATTGGGCAGTTTCCTAGAATTTTGTTTAGAAAATGAAAAATAAAATAAAAACTGAATATTTGACCCAGAAATCCCACTCCTGTGTGTTTCTGCAAGTGAATTGAAATCTTATGTTTACACAGAAGATTCCCTTCAATCGGTGAATGAATAAGCAGTCATATATTCATACAACAGAATACTACTTAGTCATAAAGAGGAACCCGATACTGACTCACAAACCCAAATGGAGGAATCTTAAAGACATTTTGCTAAATGAAAGAAGACTTACCCAAAAAGCCACCCATTGTATAATTCTAATCATATCACAGTCTGGAAAAAGGCAAAATTATAGGTACTGAAAAGAAATTAGTGGTTGTCAGGGTTCTCTAATAACAGGAATCAGGGTTCTTTCAGAGAATGGCCTGTCATGCATCAGGGTTCAATGAAAATCTAAGTACAACCCATCACAGTCAACAAGGCTATCCCAAATAATGCAATCACCGAAGCTATAGCCAACCAAATAATGTCCTCACCTTGCTTCCCTTTCTTTTCTAAAAAAGCCTTTCTCCTAGCTCCAGCCTGGGGAGAGCTCCTAACAACTCCTGTTTTGGTGCTGTCTGATTTGAATGGATTTTGTTCAAATAAAATTGTAAAATTTTCACTATGCCTAGGCTTATCTTTATCAGTGCATACAATGGAATATTACTCAACCATGAGAAAGAAGAAAATCCTGGCATTTGTGAATGAACATAGAGGACGTTATGCTAAGTGAAATAAGCCTGACAGGGAAAGACAAATAATGTATGATCTCTCATATGTGGAATCTAAAAATAACCCAGAAGGTCAGAATGGTGGTTGCCAGGAAGGGCTGGAGGGTGAGGAAATGGGGAGACACTGGTCAAAGGTTAAAAGTCTCCAGTTACAAGATGAATAAGGTCTGGGGAATCTAATGTGCTCTATGGTGACTGTAATTAATAATATAGTAGGTTATGCTTGAAATTTGCTAAGAAAGTAAATCAAGTGTTCTCATCCCACATACACAAATGGTAAGCATGTGAGGTGATATGTTAACCTGATTATAGTCATCACAAAGTATACGTATGTCTAATCATCTCACTGTACATTTTAAATACACACAATTTTATTTATACCTCAGTAAAGCTGGGAAAATCTTTAAGAATTCACTTTGGCTTTCTGATTTTTTCTACGTTTTTTTTTTTTCTATTTTATTTCATTCTTCTGTCACCTTTGATATATCCTTCTATATTCTTTTTTTTTTTTTAATCCTTCTGTATTCTTGGTGTTTCATTTATTGGCCCTTTTCTAGCTTCCCAATATATGAGCTTAAATCATTGACTTCTAAGCTTTTTTTGTAGGAATTTAGACCCACCCATGGAGACCCAGAGCACTGATCAAGGCACATACTACAAATTTTGGTATGTCCTTTTTTTCTTCTTCAAAATATTTTCTAATTTCCTTTGTGATTTTTCTTTGACTCATGAGTTATTTTGTGCGTTGCTTATTTTTTAAATAGTTGGGGGTTTTTCTAGTTTCATTTAGGTATTGACTTTTGATTCTTAGAAAACCCATTGTATGTTCTCCATCTTTCTGGAAGTTGGTCTACTCTGACAAATATTCAGTATCAACTAGAACAGAAGCCCTGTTCTGAAGGGGTCACTGTCAGGATACTCTATATGTCTATCAGCTCCATTGGTTCTGTTGCTAAAAATCTTCTAAGTGTTTACTGTTTTGTCTGCTTGTTCTTTCCGCTACTAAGAACGGGGTATTGCATTTCCCAATGGGATTTTAGATTTGGCTTTTCCTCCTTTTATCTTTTCTGACAAACGCATGTATTTCAGAGCTTTGTTATTAAGTGCATATTTGGGATTTTCATGTCTTCCTTATTAACTCTAATCACCATGAAAATATCTCTACTAGCATTTCTTTAAGTTTCCTGTTTATATTAAGTGCATCTGCTTTCTTGTGTGCATGGCATGTCCTTTTCCAAGCTTTCAAACTTAAAGTGAGTCTTGTCTCTTCTAAACAGCATATGGGTGGGTTTGCTTAACATTATTTCTTTTACTTGGACTGTTTCGTACCCTTAATGCAATTACTGAATATTTTGGGCAGTTTGTCCAGCATGCGCAATATAAATAAACCCAGGATGGAAGATGTAGGAGGCTTGGCTTTCCAGAAAATGTTACATTCGCTGTGTGTTTTTGTCATGTAAAATGAAGACATCCCTTGACCTAAATAGCTCCTTTTGTATGAGGGATGCCCCCTCTGTGACATGCATATGCTAAATCTCAGCCAGGGCCTAAGGGCCTGAGAAGGAAGAACAGGGGAGCAGCGGTGGAGGTAGTCCTAGATTTCTCTGCACTTCACCTGTGTCCTGAAATCACCTGCACACCTGACGTTAGTAAAGGTCGATACTGATTAAGATTTCTGACTCTCGTGAGCCTGATTTGATGATCTGACCCTTTGTATCATGTCAGCTCTCTAAGAGGTTTAGCTGCTCTGATCTCTGGCTTCCCCAGGACAGCCGGATTAAGCCCTCCAGAGTGGAAGCTAGATCATGTTACGCCTCCCATCAAGCTCTCTAGACACTTAGGGTAAATGCTTTAATCTACAGTGGCCTCCAGGCGCGCACCATCAGACCTCCCCTTCTCTGTTCCTCCCACCGGCCACTGTCCTACCTCTCAGGGCCTTTGTCCTGTCCCCTCAGCCTGAAGACATCCACAGTGGCTGGCTCTGATGTAGGAAAGATGTTAGGGTTCAAAGCCAATGGCCAAGAAAGAATTCTTGAGATTTCTTTGGTGCAAAAAGGTGGTTTTATTAAAGCACGAGGACAGGACCCATGGGTAGAAAGCCACACTGGGGGGTGGTCATGAGGGGTGGCCCATTGTATACTTTCAATTTGGGAGGGGGTTAGGGACAGCAATAAATCTCTAAGGAATTTTGGAAGCCAGGTTTCCAGGACCTTGAGGGGGTTAGCTATTATTGGGAAAGGTCATTTATTATCATCTAGTAAAACCTTAGTCATGAGACCCTTCAGATGTGTATTGGTGGGCCAAATGCTTGGGGGATGATTGCCAACATGTATCTTGGGGGGTTTAGAGATAAAGGAAGTTTCCAAAGGGATTTTTATATGTTAAAGTAGACTTACAGGATTGGGGGGTCAGGGAGGGGTTGGTCAGGCTAGGATTTCCTTTTGCCCTTAGCAGAGGATTAACATCAAGGCAGCGGAGTTCCTAGAGGAACATCACTCTGCCTGTTTCAAGAACCTGTCAATGGGCTACAAATAGTAAGAGAAATTTTCTTTTGCCTTTGTTTCCCACATCAGCTCCCCTGTCCCTTTCAAGTTTTTCCCTGTCCCTGACTACCCACCCCGAAGTTGCCTCGCCCCTGGAACACTGTAGACCAGACCTCCTTACGCATATAACTGGTACGTCAATTCATTCAGATACGTCTCTTCTCAACATAGAATGTAAGCTTCCTGAGAACAGAGGCGTTTCATGTTTTGCTCGCTGCTGTCCCCACAGTACTGAGCAGTACCTGACAAAGCAGAAATGGGGGAACCCCCCTCTGGGTATTGTTCTGGCTGTACCCCACATGTACATTTAGTAGTCTAAGAGAAGTCACTTCCAAACATTCTATAATCCATTTTTATTTCCTCCTATGCCATGGATCATTTTCATGTGTTCTTATGTGCTCTGTGGGTAGCTTTGTGTAATTCATTCTTATCTCCATTAGGGTCAGAGAACAATGCCTTTATTTTATGCAATTATTTTCTCTATGGCCTAGTTCATAAGCCATTTCCAATGAAGTATATTGGAAAGCAATGAAGTGCCTAGTTTGTCGGATGTGGCATATACATTTAGTTTTCTGTCAAATTCCATTTTATCTGATTGAGTGTAGAAATCTTTGGCACAGATACACAGGTGTGTTACAGAGAGTCAAGAACGCTCTGGGTGCAGTTGGCATTCTAGTGCAAAACCCACAGTGCGGACAGCTAGCTGCCCCAGCTCTTTGGTGACTTTCCCCGATCAGCACTGGTACTGGAAACAATGGGTCCAACAGCGGCTTATTAGAATGACTGAGGTTAGAAAGATCTCTCTTTGGTAAAATTAGTGGTATTCAAGATCTGATGGGAGTTTGGATATTCAGGGGTGCTCCCCACCCTACATACAGGTCAGATGACCCGGCGAGGCCTCCGGTGAGGGCCTGAGACTTAGCCCTACAGCAGCACTGTGTCCAGCCCCTGGGATGGGGGGCAGCCCACCGTGGTTAGATGGACAAAATCCTGCCCCTGGAACGTCGGAACCACCTTGAAACCTTTCCTTCGAAAAGTCATGGACCGTCTAGCGAGAGACGTGCAACTCCACTGAGCTTACCTAACAGGCTGTAGGAGCTGTTTCTCATGCTATGTTCACTGTCATCCTCTGGTGAGGCTGTGAGCGAGCCGACGAACGCGCCCTAGCACCTGACATCTAACACTGCCTAACAGAAGTAACGTGGATGCTTTGGGGGCACCTGGGTGGCTCAGTCGGTTAAGCGACTGCCTTCGGCTCAGGTCATGATCCTGGAGTCCCGGGATCGAGTCCCACATCGGGCTCCCTGCTCGGCAGGGGGTCTGCTTCTCCCTCTGACCCTCCTCCCTCTCATGCTGTCTCTCATTCTCTCTCTCTCAAATAAATAAATAAAATCTTAAAAAAAAAAAAAAAAGTGACGTGGATGCTGGAGGCAGACGAGACGGCGAAGGGCAGGTGCCAGCACCCACTGGGACATTGTATTTGTCAGGGTCAGCTTTGGGGGTCAGCTTTGGGGTCACGTTCATAGACGACAGTGATAGGTGAACACAAGTTCTTACTCCATCTTGTTATACTTATCAGTAAAGAACACTGTTCTTTTGTCCTTTTTAATGTTCTCATCTCGTCTGTTTTGGCTGATACATACAGTATATGCATATAATTAGGTCTGTAACCAGATTTGCTTGATATGTTCTGCTTTTTAGATTTGTTTCCATCACAAAATATATGAAAGAAGACTAGAGATTAAATAGCGATAAAGCTTTATCAAATCTTAACATTATTTTTCAAAATGACGAGAAACCTTTGACAGGTAGAGGTTTTTCAAATGCCAATCTCTTGAATAAAAAAACCAATATACACTAGAGCCTAGAAAAATTAATCATACCCTTTTATACTGTTTTCTGTTCTGACAAATTTTAAGAGAACTTGTCACTGGGAATTGTCATAGTCCATTTAGGCGGCTGTAACAAAACACCAGACTGTGGGTGGCTCATAAACAAAGGATTTATTTCTCTCTGGAGGCTGGAGAGTGGGGTCCAAGAGTGGGGTGTGGGTGGGGTCAGGTTCTGGCGAGAGCTCCCTTCTGGCTGCAGACTGCGACTGCTGTGTCCTCACCGGGCAGAAGGAGCCACGAGCTCTGTGGGGCCTCTCATCAGGGCACCGATCCCAGGCCTGAGGGCTCCACCCTCTTGATCTAAGCTCCTCCCAGAGGCCCCACCTCTTACCATCATCATAATGGAGGTTAACAATGGAACACAGGAATTTGGAGGGACATAAATATTCAGGACACAGTAGGAATTTTTAAAAATATAAGGATACTAATTTAGGCAGGCATTTTAAGCCTAGGATACAATTTGATTGATATCATGGGGTTAAGATAATGTACGAAAATTAAAAAACATGCCAAAAAGAACACAGAGGAAGAGTAGGGGGGGTTGTAGTTTTACTAAAATATATACTTGCTCGCACCTATAAACTGAATGCAAATTTCCCTAAATTCTAGAACTGGGATATTAAGAAGCAATTGTGATAAATAAATCATATAACAGAATTTTAAAATATATTTCACATTTCTAAAATCATTTAAAAAAAATCTGAGCATTACCTTAATATATTTTTATCAGAAATATACTTTTGGTAATAAATAACCATTTGATAAAGTTATACATACCTTCCTTAACTTATAGTGAAGTTACATCCCGATACATTCATTATAAGTTGAAAATACTGTTAGGTCAAAAAGCACTCAAGACGCCAAATCCCACAGCTTGGCCTACCCTACTTCACACGTGCTCAGAGCACTTGAACAGGAGCCTGCAGTCACAAAATAGGGAACAGCTCATGTAACGGACTGAATGCCGCACCGAAGGCGACAAAATGGTTGTTGGGCACAGACGGCTGCTGGCCCTGGAGACTGTTGCCGCCGCCCGGCATCAGGAGCGAGGATGTGACACTCGCCGGCAGCCTGGGACAGGATCCACACTCAAAACCTCAAGTCCCGTTTCTACTGAACGTGTATGGCTTTCGCATCGTTGCCAATCCTAAGTCAGGAACTGTCTGGATAAACAAGTAACTATACAGAGTTAATTTTAATACATTAATGGGAGTAACCTTTACGGTAGACTTCATATGAAAATAAATTATTTTTCCTATTTTAAGAACCGGCAACCTAAGTTCACAGGCTTTCAGCATCTACGAGGTGGGCGCGCGTGCCCAGGTCCATGCTGGGAAGCCTCGTCACAGACAGACGCCTTCCCTGTGAGCTGGAGACGGCACCTGTGAGGTGCGGGGCTGGGCAGGAGGGCCGCCCCTCAGCTCAGGAGGCCAAGCTGAAGCCGGCGCGCCGAGCACGGAGACGCCGCGGGAAGACCCGATCAGAAGGCGGCTGCTGCGAGAAGGCGACCCACCCCCACTCTACCTCCTCCAAAGAAATTTTTATTTTTAAAAACGGAAAGGCGGTTTCAGCCAAATGGTCTTTTACTACTTTGAGCCAAAAAAAGCATCATTCTCTTCCTTTATTTTCTGATTTTATGACCAAATATCCTGAAGATACCGTTTTTCTTCTTTCAAAGTAGCCAATGTTTTCATTGCTTCTAGTTTTTCAACTCCAGCCTCTTTGCTAATTATTTCCACAAGGGTATCACTGACATCTTTGGCCATATTCTTAGCATCTCTAGAAAAAAAGAAGAGCATCAATGTTTAGAAAACAAGAATTTCTACCAAAGCCTCCATAATTCACAAATCTAACTCCCACTGACTCTACCATCGTCCACCCTGGCCCTCCCTCTATTTCTCTGGGAAGCATCCTAACAGGTGTCCCAGCCTGTCATCCGTCAGGCCTCTACCCAGTGACCAGTCCAACTGGCAAAGCTGACCACATCATCACAGCTGAAAGCCCCTCCAAGGCGTCCACGTTCCAGGAGCAGCTGAGTCTTCACTAAGTGTCTAGGGACCTCGTAAACCTGGCTCCTGCTCATCTCTCATCCCCTCCCTTCATTCTCCGGGCACACAGCGGAACCTGCATTCCCAAGGGCAACAAGGCTTTACGCCTACAAGCCTTCATATGCACACAGGTGTGTGCACACACACACGTGCGTGCACGCAATTATTAACAGACACACTTACTGAGAACTCAGTTGTGGGCCTGGCTCTAAGCGCTTTGACATGTTTTAGCTTATTCATTTACAGGACGGGGGAGGGGCCCTGCGTGCCCCTGCAGCCCCGACATGGCCTCGGCTATACCGCGAGCACCTGCTGACGTGGCTTTCCCGCCAGGGGGTGTGCGGTCTGTGGTCACGGAGTGTGTCTCACTCGGCCTTGCAGCTCTCAACGTCTGAACTGTGCCAAGGCGCTCAGGAGGCACCAGATGTTGTCGCATGAGTAGAAGTTGGACAGGACACTAACAGGTCAGCAAGAGAACTTGTCCTGTCCCTCACAGTAACATTTCTTGAAAAAGGCATCTCCAGTGGCCACCTCGACCTCCTCACCAGGCTCTCCCCTCCACCACTCTGACGGAGCTTCCATCCCCGTGGCCCTTCCCACGGCCCTAGTGGCTGCCAGCTGCCAAACCTACCGGTCCCCTCGGTCTTCTTACTTGACTATCAGCAGCATAAGGCTCCCCCACTTGGGACAGTGTCCCCTGGACTTAGGGACAGGTTCACTCCTGCTGAGGGGCTGGTCCGCATTAGGGTGCCACGGGGTCTCGTTCTGAGCCCCCACCACTGACCACTGTCATGAACACTATCAATTCCATTGTGCAGATGGGAAAAGTGAAGCACCAGTGATTGTAAAAAGCGATTTCTGGGTTAATGTGTTTGGACATTTAAGATACTCTCCAAGCTGTCATTTACCAGTTATTCATGTATTTGTACAACTGACTTTGCCTCTATTAGTTAGAGGTACATCTAAAACCCAGCCTGGGGGCGCCTGGGTGGCTCAGTCAGTTAAGTGTCTGCCTTTGGCTCAGGTCATGATCCTGGGGTCCTGGGATCAAGTCCCACATCGGGCTCCTTGCTCAGCTGGGGGTCTGCTTCTCCCTCTCCCTCTGCCGCTCCCCCCACTTGTGCTTGTGCTCTCTCAAATAAATAAATAAAATCTTTAAAATTCCAGCCTGTTCAACACTGACAGCTCTATCCTCTACAAAGTGAAGGTCAAACATTTCTTTAAAAACTAAATGAAAATGTAAACAAGCACAATGTCCAGAATCTATGCCCTTTATCAACCTAAAGCAGGGTTTCTCAACTGAGAGTCAAAAATCCATGAACGGGTCATAAAATCAACTTAGGAGGCAAAATCAATTTTGAAAAAAACAATAAAACAGAAGTTACCATAACATATAATGAGAAGTAAATAGAAAAAGTTGTTTTATAAAACCTGTTTCTGTTATATTTATATCTATATTCTAGGTCACTGTACCAGTATTTCTGCTTTGGTATCACAGGTAAAAACAACAACAACAACAACAACAAAAAACCACACCTGACTTGGTGATGTATGTACGTTTTAAATGCCTGGGATGTGCCAGAATTAAAAGGAGCGATTTCTTACTCAAAGGACCTTTTTAATTAGCACAGTTTTTTTGAATTCCATTAAAACAAGTTGGTAAGTTTCTAAAATTTTTATTTATGGCAATTTTGGGTTTCTGTAACAGATCTTGCCTCAGAAAGTATATAAAACTCAACATAAAAATGATTCCTGGCTTACTGTCAACTTTGACGTTACAAATTATGCCTTAAAAAAAAAAAAAAGGATCTTTAGATCCACATTCTCAGAGTCAAAACTATGGTTTTCCTTAGCCAGGTCAAATGCACATATCTCATATTCTTGGACACAACAAAATCAATCCTGAGACTTCAAGTTAAATGATCAGCATCTTAACACCAAATAAAACTTTCAGAGGCTCAAACATGTATTCAATATGGCACAATGTATTCTGAAATGCAAGAATTGATTTCACTTCCATTTCCCTGATAATGACAACTTCTTGGCTATTAAATGTTAAAATCATTTCAGAACTTGTATTTCTATTCCTGTACTTAAGAATCAAATCTCTCATCCAACCTGTCTAGATTATTAATGGCCCCTGGTTCATTTAATAAGTATTATCAACTGCCTTCGCCTACCTGGCATTTGAGTGACTGCCACTTACCCACAGATGTAAATACAGCCACGCTCATGAAGAAGGAGCCTTGCCACCTGCTCGCTGTGAAGCCGGATGTTGTCTTGCACGTACTTCACTGGGGCTTCCTCCTCTCCAACAGGAGCATCTCTTGAGAAGGAAACCTTCAAGTGAGTCAGGATTCCACGCTGGTGGAAATGTCTGAGCTCCTCTCTGAAATACAATATATAATAGGTTACTGAGAGGTTTGTCATTTAAAGTTAAAAGGTCTGAAATGAGAATTGTATACTCATTGTTGAGTCTTCCAATACTAGAATTGTATAGTACCTGAATAAATAATCCCGATCCTTATGTCGGCAGCCAAAAAACAACCACATTGCTCCAAAGTGTCCATCTGGATGTTGTTCTTGGAGTTTCTCTCTATGTGGAAAAGCAAGCTGAGATGCTGAATATAAAGAATATGTAAAACCAATCTATTTGGTCAGAAATACCACCAGCCAATCCAGACAGGATTCACCGTCACTGTGAGTTTAGCCCAGGTTACCACAGTCCTGCCCACGGGCTCCCAAGTGCCCCCAGCAGATGCCCACCCCGACAAGCATGCCATCTGTGCGCTACAGACACCTGCAAGCTCTCTATGGCATCTCTGTGCAGAATTCAAAATGTTCCATTGTGAAAGCTACACTAATTTTTTGTGAATAAAATTAACTCTTAATTAACGTAATGGAAGAGTGGCCCAGGGCTTTAAATGGCAGAATGATCTGCTGCGAAGGGTTTCAGGAATGACACAGCAAGCAGACACACTGGGTATGTCTGCCATTACTCTCTGCTTCCTTTAAGAAAAAAATTAAAACTAAGAACAACAAAAAGACTTTGTCCAAAGGATATTACACCACTATGTGGGGACCAGCAAAGAATTGTTCGTTATTTCACAAACAGGGAGAGAAGCACAATTTATTTTATATCAAATAGTTCTACATTGATACAAAACACATCTACTAATAACAATCTGCTGAAAATTACCGACATTTAGGTTTAACTTTGAAACTTTTGGTATAACTGGATCTCTGTTAGTAGCAATTTTACCTAGTTAAGAAATAGATGGAATAGTCTATACATCATCACAGCTTAAAGGTGTGCCTGAAATCTGTCCCCAACTACATACGTTATAAACTATAGTGCAGCTGGGGAAAAAAAAGAAAAAAAAGTGCTACAGTAAAAAGGGAAGTTCTGATACAAAACAAAACCTCTGGAAGACATCATGTTTACTTTTCCCGTGGTGACAAATTACGCTATCACACATCTGATAGTAATTTTTTAAAATAAAACTTTTACAACCAAAGTCCAATATCCAAAAAAAGCACTGAAGAAACAAAAACGCTATTATATTTCCACCCAGGATCACAGGGACACATTTTCTCAGTAGTCAAAGAAAGCACACACCTGTGTTGCAGGAAACCAATGAAGGGCGCTATGCCAGTTCCCGGACCCACCATTATGATGGGGGCTGAGGGGTCACTCGGTAAGTGGAAAAAATTGGTTGTTCGAGGAGAGATGGAGATCTGGAATATTAAACGAATGCTCATGACTCTGAAAGAAACCCTAGACAAAGGCATATAACCAAGATGATCTTTGCTAAAGAAATTAAATAGCAGCATTAAATCTTACTGAAACCATGAACACATTTGTCATTACAGAGGAAAAAAATACCAGACAAGTCTGTCTTGCAAATATTTCTTTTCCATCAAAATCAAAGGTGCTTTAGAAATTACAGGCATATTTCTAAGGTAGAACACTGAATAGATACAACCAAATTCTTTTCCTAGGCCCATGAGTAAGATCTGCTTCCTAGTCGGCAACCCATTATCTGTATTATGGAGAAATGCACGACAAACTGAAGCTAGGATTCTGTGTTTACACACAAAGGGGCAATGAAGATCAACATCAAGATGGAGTGAGAGCTTCAAGAGCAAATTGGCACCTGAAGGAAAAATGAGAGGGTTGCTCCACAGATGAAGAACTGTGCTGTTTGTTTAAAGTCTGATGTTATGTGTTCTTGCAAAACTAGAATAATAGGCAGCATACACAGATAAAGACAATCTTTTTGCTAAAATTTCAGAAGACTTTTCTTCTAAATCATGTGCCAGGGATATGTACAAGGAATCCATTTCTAAATATATCTCAGTCCCAGTGTCACTTCTCCATATGCGTGAGTTATACCAAGTGACAGGAATCTGTAACTGTATACATTTTAACCTTTAATGTAAGGAAAGGCTTTTGAAGTTCATCAATAGGATGAACACCATACTTTGTAAAGGAAGAACTGGCAGAGCGATGTGAGATGAATGTTGGCATTCTGGAATGAGACTGTAATTCATCTCACACTAGTCTCACATAACCCACTCACTTACCAGCCTCATGACGGTACTCAATATGACAAGCACTACAGATAGAGAAATGAACAGAATCCCTGTCCTCATGCACTTACATTCTAATGGAAGGAAGAGACAATAATCAAACATTCATCTGTAAAATGACTGGTGATGATGAGCCCCGTGAAGCACACTAAAGCAGGATACACTGCGTAGGACAGGGGTGTGCCCGTGAGAGCACAGGGCCTGCGTTCTAGGGATTAGTCCACTCTCGCTGCAGTAGATCTCAAACGGTTTACAACAGCCAACACTTCTGCCTGGCTCTCCTTAAAGGCTACAAGTGGGCTACAGCACTGCAGCCCAGATCCCCTCCACTTGTATCCAAGTCCAAGGAGCATCCCTGACCTGCATCATCCCATCCTTCCGTCAAAGAGGAGAGAGAGGCAAGCCATGCCAGCAGGGGGTTCAGCAGTCCTGCTTAGAGGGGGCACAGGTCCCGTCTGCTCACATCTCACTGGTGGAATGTGGTCACGCAGCCAGACTACACATCAATGGGTGGGGCAGTCTACGCTTCCCAAGGACAGGGGTATCTGTCAACAGCTGTCCCATCTACCAGTTGGAGGGTATGGGTGGGTCATGTGAATGTTAACATTCTCTACACTTCCTAACAAAATAGGTATGGCAGTAAGCACCATACAATTTAAATTGTATCCTTATTCCCATACCTCTAATGCGTGAATACTAGGGAATCTATAATAAAGATCTGTTAAAATGGACAAAGGAGAAAGAAAAAGGCGGAAGGGAGAAAAAGAATGTGTGAATGGCACCCATGCTCGGTGTTTGTGATAGGTTATGGATATATATATTTCTTTAACTTTCTGAAGAGCATCCATTTTTATAGGATCATAAAATGACATAATAAAATTTTATGTCCGTACCATAATATTTCTTCTCAAAAAGGGAAGTGTCTCAGGTTAATATTTTGTTGATGCATTGTGACCTAGGAGTGGGGGGGGGGGGGGCGAAGGGAGGGGGTCTCTCTTTCTCTCACTCTCTCAGGCACCTCCGTCCCAGGCAGGAGCCTGGGAAAATACCACGGTAAAGGGCAATTTCAAGCAGCAGCCTCCCATGAGCGCCCTCAAGTATATACTGAAGTCTTACTTTCCCCTTAGGGCATGAACTTTTCAACTCCAGTAACTCATAGCAACCAAACCAGTCCTGAGATAACACTACAAAAGACACATTCACTTTCAATACCACAGAAAAAGACTTCGTGATAAAGCCTGAAATGTTCTGTTTAATTTCAACCATCCTCACAGGCAAGGGGGGACTTTAAATTGTTCCTTATGTTGCAGTCTTAAGTGAGATTCGCCAAGTGCTGTATCAAACCATGAAGGATGGCACTAAGTCCAGATGTAAATATGCCCACGGTTTGGTCACAAAAATCAAGGAACATGTTTCTCCTACGTGTTTTTAAAGGGCTTCCCCCTCATTATGCCTTCACACTAACAGCACTAATTTGGATGTACACCACATCTAAGACAAAAAGGGAAGAAACACAGCAAAATCCTACTACCCAAAACTGAAGGACATAAAATTAATCTTTGGTTGTCAACTGATTGCCAAGTAAGGATTTATCTGGGAAACAGGGTATAGTCTATACATAAGATGAGGCTGTCCCTCAACACCAGCCTTCAGCATTTACATGGCTCTTTTCCTGTGCCCAATCTTCCCAAAGTATTAGCCAAAAAGATCTTTTCTATGAATATGATGAGGAGGAGAAAAGACTGTATTATCCAAAATTCACACTTTACATATGTGAGAAATATATGGATTAATAGTAAATGAAAATGTAATGTTTTCCTGACTTCCCAACAGAGATTTTAAAAATCAAGTATGGCAAACATTTTCCTTTGAATAAACCTGATGGACACAGACAATGCAGGGAAGACCACATTAACCAGGCAAATAATTCTAATAATGCCCAAACTGCACACTCCCAGTACCTCCGGAGCCGGGGCTTTCCCACCTTCTGCACGGGACACTCGTGGGTATGGATGAAGAACGGACGCGGCCACCGTGGCCAGCCAGCCTGTGCATACGCCCTTCCGCAGAACTTCCATTGTGGTGTTCGACACAAACTCCACAATGTTAAAAATGAAATGAAGCTTTCCTGGGTGAGTCAGGTTTGAGCTGCAGAGACACACAGGTCAGTTTTAAACTCTGTATCAGGACTAACGCACACAAGCTAGACGCAGCATTTTTTACTGAAGGATATTTCCTGTGGGCTCTCATCTACCTTCCAACTCTTCAGGGAAAAGAGCTCTGTTGCTACTTAAAAGCTCCTCCTCTCCTGCCCCTGTTTTGTGATATTCAGAAAAATTTCCAATTACCTGTTTGCTTTAAGACTCCTTAAGATTTATACAACCTTTCATCTGTCCACTGCCCGCCTCTGCTGCCCAGTGGAGGTGGCCGGGCATGGCCGGAGGGGCAGCAGGTGGAGGACCGGGGCCTCGCAGCCCGACGTGGGGGAACGTGGCTGTGGACAGGGGTGCGCTGGAGATTCTACACTCTGAACACCTGCAGGACGGGAGTCCCAACACCAGTCTCCGTCAGTCCCTGCCACGCCCACTGTTGTCGTCCACAAATCAGGTAAGTTTTCACCGGGGGAGTTCGGAACTAATAAGGATTGGGAAGCCAGAGACTCACAACATTTTGGGAGAAAGATCTTATATGTTAATAAATATCAGTACCTTGCACATGAATATGGTCTCGGCTGGAGCTTAGGAAGATGTTCTAGAAAAAAAAAAATTAAAAATAAGCAATTACTTTACTGCTATTGAAAACTGTATGTAAGGTTTTGTAAAAATTCAAGCTTGAGTTGGCTTTTTCCTATTTAAAACACCCAAAATAACATTTTAATTTAAATCATATTTTAGAGCAAATGGAAATTCACTGTGACTAAATAAGCCTTTACTGAATATTTTTTTCTAATTCTTCACGTTAAAAAATCAGACATATTGCATTTCTTTACCTGAAATCAGTGTCTTTCTAAAGGCTGGTTTCTTAAACCGAAGGATAATAAAAGCATCCGTGAATGGGTTTCAGAATCAAGAAACCCATTTATTTTCTGTGTGTACACAGTTTTCTGCAGAAGTGTCCAGAGTTTTCATATTTGAAATAAGATCATGACCCCCAAAAGATTAAAGATCACTATTTTAAGAATTATGGGAAATACCTAGGCTTGAAATATCTTTCCTCCTTATATTTCTACAGCAACAAAATGAAAGTATAGGGGTAAAACTTTTAAGTTATCCAGAACCCAGTGGTTTCTAGATACATTGGAGCTCTTTTAAAAAAAGCAGGTCAAAGAATCAATCTTTGAATACCTAACTGCACACCAACAAACTCTAAAATTTTTTTCTGTTCAAGGTTATATATCTTACTATGTTAATCACCATACATCATTAGTTTTTGATATAGTGTTCCATGATTCATTGTTTGCGTCTAACACCCAGTGCTCTATGCAGAACGTGCCCTCTTTAATACCCATCACCAGGATAACCCATCCCCCCACCCCGTTCCCTCTAGAACCCTCAGTTTGTTTCTCGGAGTCCATAGTCTCTCATGGTTCAACTCCCCCTCCAATTTCCCCCCCTTCATTTTTCCCTTCCTGCTATCTTTTTTTTTTTTTTTTTTTTTTTAACATATAATGTATTGTTTGTTTCAGAGGTACAGGTCTGTGATTCAACAGTCTTATCAAGGTTATATTTTTAATAGTTATCTGGCAAAAACCTGGAAAGACCTTTCTAAAATTTAGTAACAGAGTAACACTTAAAAGAGGGCTCAACATAATACTAAGCTTTAGATACATTGTTTACTTAAAGAAGTGGAAAATAATTTAAATTTTTTAAGTCTCAATTCCTTTATTAGTTTTTATAGAACTACATAATAAATGCTGTATAAAAGTTAAAAAAATATCCAGCAAATCCATGAAAAGAACTAAAACATTCTCATACGCTGGATAGCTTTACAAGAGTTCTTACAACTTCCCTACATATGTTCTGATTATTCTCCCAACCCCTGTATTCATTCTAAACTGAGAAGGGGAGCAGTGTGAGTTTGAATACAGGGAAGAGGGAAGGGCGACCTCATCTAGTAACTTCACCATTTTGAGAAGGAAAAGGAATAGTAAAAGGGAGAGAAAGCAGGATCTGACTTAATAAAGGAGAACACTCCAAACTGTACTGGACATCGGGGGACCCTGGGGCCTAAAAGTAAAAAGCACGATACACATTTTCCTACCACCAAAGATAAATGCAAATTTTAAACATTTTATTACTTATCATTACAGGAAGAGAGAGAGGAGAGGAGAAAATTACCAGCACAGGAAAGTACTCAGGGTTTAACAATCCTGCCCAGTTTTCACAGTTCCTGCTGCTCGCAAAGGTCTCCAAGCCCTAGTGAGGCTGCCACTGAAAGTCCCCTCTCCTGACACTAGTTCCTCAAAGAGGATCTTCTCTCTTCTGTGCATATGAAGACCCCAGGAGACAATGAGGACGAAAACAGAATCATCTTCCATTTGACTGTTTTGTGACATGTCTCGCCCCAGCTTCAAGCCTGGCGCACCCTGAACAAGGCCACCTGCACTGGCACAGCGGGAGGGGTCTCCGTTGCCCTTGGAGAACCCTGAGCCGGACTCGGCCAGACGGCGGCATTCCTGTCTTCCGCACAGACAGCACACCGCATTAACCTCTGTCAATTATGTCTACTGTTCATCAGCCTTTTTTTTTTTTTTTTTTAAAGATTTTTATTTATGTGAGAGAGAAAGAGAGGGCGCACAAGAGAGTGGAGCGGGAGAGGGAGAAGCAGACTCCCCGCTGAGGAGGGAGCCCGAAGCGGGACTCGATCCTGGGACTCCAGGATCACAACCTGAGCTGAAGGCAGTCCCTTAAATTGAGCCACCCAGATGCCCCCTTTTTTTTTTCAAAGATTTTATTTATTTATTTGACAGAGAGACAGTGAAAGAGAACACAAGCTAGGGGGAGTGGGAGAGGGAAAAGCAGGCTTCCCGCTGAGCAGGGAGCCCGATTCAGGGCTCGATCCCAGGACTCTGGGATCATGACCTGAGCCGAAGGCAGATGCTTAACCGACTGAGCCGCCCAGGCGCCCTTGTTCATCAGCTTTGAAAAAGAAAAAAAAAATTTTTTCCTTGGGAAGCTCATTTTTAGGTAACATTGGACTAAAAAAAAAAGAAAAATACCAAAAATCAAACAAACAAAAAAACCTTTCTGAAAACTAGCTAAATGAACAGAAAAGATGTTAAATGCTGACCCAAAGAAAGAGAATTAAGACTGGCTGAAATGAGAGCAAAGGCCAGTGACAATGGTAGAAGGAAGAAATAGGAGACAGACAATCTAGGCAGAGGCATTCTTTCTGCCTCCCAGGAGGCCCTGAACACACCCCGACGTTTCCTCATGGAGCCGTGTTCCCACGTGCCAGACAGACTGCAGAGGGCGGCCCCCAAGCAGAGGGCTCTGAACAAAAAGGCCCGCTGGGTGCAGGGGCGGGGAGAGTGGCCACTCACCGAGCAGGAGACGAAGTGGCGGCTGGCAGGACGGGAAAGCGAGGAGCAGGTCGAACAGGCTGGCGTGCGCATCTCGCACGAGACGGTTGTAATCGGCCGCGCCCTGGCGGCTGCACAGCTCCTGCAGCCTTCGCTTCTCGGGCCCGTCGCTGGTGTAGTCCGAGAGGGCTCGCAACAAGGCCTGTGGCCAAGGCAAAGGAAGCCGACTGAAAGATCCACGTGTGGTCAGGCCGCTCAAATCTCCGGTTAGGCTCTAGCTGGGGATGTGCCCAATTATCCAAGAAAAAGTGACAGCGCCCTTCGGAGTGTGATTAGGAAAAGAGAATTTAACTTATTTGCTTTAATGTCAGCCTGTTAAGGAAAATCACCTTCCATGTTTGACTTTTAGCCACCTTTCCTGTTTCCTAAACCACCTCAGCAGTCCCAAGTATGATCTCAAACTACATGTCCGATATATCTGAGTAACAATGACCAGAAATCTCCTAACTCATCAATTTTAACTCAAGACAAAATACTTTTCTTGTCGTAGCGGATGATTACAAGTTGGGCCTCTGCGTTCATCGGACAGCTGTTAAGTTCTCTTTATACAACAGGCGGTGGGCACGACAGCTCCTCGGCTGGCAAGGCTCACGGGCCAGGGACAGCATGCAAGAGCCTGACTACCCCAACAGGGGCACACCCAGGATGTCAGGGGCTTCTGAAGCCGAACGTGCCCCAGAACGCAAGCCCGAGCTGAAGGCTGGCCACAGGAGAGAAACAAAGTGTGAAGAAGGGCTAAGCCGATGGCCCAGCTCCATGAAGGCACAGGAAGCAGGCAAAAGCACACTCCCGGGGCCAGGAACAGTTCCGTGTGGATGCAGGGCAATGCGGACACGGGACAAAGGCTGAAAAGACAGGCAGGGCCAGAACATCAAGAAGCCTCCTGCACGTGGACTCTCTTAGTCACCTCAGACTCACTGTAGAAAGAGGAGGAGAATATAAATGAAGAAAGCAAAGCAATAACATCCTGAACCCCAAGCCTCAAAGACAGAGCTATGTCCAAACTCTTGGACAAAAGACCAACTTGCTAATAATGACTTTTGGTTTCAACGTATTCCAAATATGACATATACAGCTCTTACCACTCAAGGGTTAAGAACAAAGCAATTAAGCAAGTAATCTGCATCAAATGCTAAGTGAAATGCTAACAGGGACTTTTTTATTCCATGGCTCAGGCACCTTCGTGTCCCGGACTCCCTTACCAGGGAGGATGACATCACTCCTCTTGTGAGGGTCACAGGTGCTCAGTGGCTCAGCTCAGAAGTCCTGCCTAAAAAAATCCTAGGAGACCAACAAATCACATGCCTTCTTCGAAATGCCAGACACAGGGCCGAACGTGGAACAAGCACTTGGGAAACCATGTGGGATCAATGAGCACCCCACGTCTATGCACAGACCCCTGGTAAGATACCTTTTCCATGCTGGGGTATACAAACTCCCAAGTTCTATTTAGGTAAGAAGGCGTGTGACAGAAAAGCACATATACCAGAGGACCTCGTTTTTTTCTTAGCGAAACAAAATTTAAGGGTTGAGCCTGAGGATTTGATTATAAAGGTCTTTTGCTTCCCAAGCTACTTAATTTTGTGTCCAGAATTTTTATGAGCGCATTACTTTTATATTAAGGAAAAACATGTCTACCTTACATGCTTTATGAAATGGTAGAGCTGAACTAAAATTGTGAAACTGACTTTTAATCAAGAAGTTCTCATCACAGTGAATACTACACTTATTCAAATTATATCTATGTCTGAGCCTCTCTCTAAAGGAGTTGGCTTCCCGAAGACTGCATGCAACACACACATTAATAAGACAGAGCATAAAAAAGGCCTTGTGGAGGGCAGCCTGATAATAGCACTATTATGCACACTGACAATACGAATTTAGCAAAGCACAGCTGGGAAGTCTCCCCCATTCATACCCATGTGAGGGACAGGCTTAGAAGGAATCAGTTACAGCATCTTTTAAAAGATAGCTCCCGGCATCCTCCTGACCTCTAGTGGATCATTCTGTCCACGTACATCCAAACATCAATATAATCTCCCAGAACCTTTCATTTTTTCCTGAAGAATTCTGACTTAATAGTAAAGAATTATGTACTTTCACACAGAAGAGATCTCAACATTAAATGGGTGGCAAGCAGGGGTAAGCCTGCACTCTCATAAGCTTCCTGTCATCAATCACAAAAAGGGTGAAGTACAGCTAGATAACACAAGGTCATCTGGGGTCACTTTAATCACTGATTAATGTAGCACATCAAATTAATATCTAGTAAAAATAAGAAAAAAACTCTAAAAATCTTGTTTCTATAGAAAATAGAACTTCAATATAAGCACAACATAAAAATATCTATGAAAATTGCAAAAATACTACACACCCTTGGGGACTAACATGGTGTGAAAGCCGTATTTTCAAAGCCTTTAAAGGGCAAATGCCAGATTTAATAAATCCTACACAGAGCTAAGTACATTTTTAAATAGTTACCCAAAGAAAAGTACCTTTTTAGGAACTGCTCGTATTTCAAGGCACCAGGTCAGAATGAATTGGAGAGAACATCCCTCAGGTATATGCTGGGGTAAAGCTGCTCCTTTTCAGGCAGACAGGAAAGAGTCCATGACACAGAAAGTAAAGAATAAAACATTTCCGCATTCTTAAAAAACCAAATAACTGTATACTTTACATTATAGTGCTAGGAAGGTATAACATGATTTGTGGCAATGTTTATGCAGTCAAAAAAATTTCCAAAATGAATGCGGGGGCGGGGGGGGGGGAACCCCTTGCCAAAAAAAAATAGTAGAAGAATTATAAATTCCATAGCATTATTAGCCACACCTAAATCTACCAAAGATAGATCTTTGGTATGTTTCGTAAAGATACCAAATCTAGGTCTACCAAACAAGAGGGAAATTATCCAAAGCCAAGGAAAAAAAGCCAAAAGATGGCACTTGTCCACTAACACTGCATATTATTCGCAAAAAGAATTTTAGAACTGATGGAACTCCAGTTCAAGATTCTAAGCAAATAACTAAATAACTTCCTTTAATCATGAAAAAATGTTTTTATATATTAAATAAGCAATAAATATGCTATGAGAAATACACATGACCAAAAAACTTTAAAAAGGTTCATAGAATAAACGTTTATTGTAGGACTACTCTTGTATAACTCAAACAAAATAATGCTAACTCCAAAAGCAAACTAACAAATCAGCCCAATTAAGCTACCGGCTTCTCCAAGACTATAGCTACATTTATTTTTACTGTCCCGCAGTGTCCAAATAAGCATACAATCCATCATCATCCCATTCAGTGTACCTGATGTGAAGTTAAGAAACCCACAAGTCAGAGAGCGCCAGGGTTCTGCCCCCTGACCCATGGCCAACCTCAGACATGTGCAGCCATCACACAGGGTGTAGGGTGGGGTCCTTGCACTTGTCACCTCCAATCTGTTAGCCCAATGACACCCTAAGAAGAGATCAGGGCCATACCTTTCTTTTTTGTGTCTGCCTTAATTTTTAAGAGGACACAGTGCTCTCTTCTGTCCGTGAGCTGCAGTCTTTGGAGAAGGTTTTGTACCTCAGAATCACTGTTGGGACAGATCACATTGAAGGCATCTCCAGGCTGATAGGAAAAATCTGTTTTCTAGAGAAGAAACAATGAAAGAAAAAAAAAAAAAGCCCATGAGTTAAAGAGTTTTAGTTGTGGGGTAACAAAAGCATGTTTTTTATTATATGATCCTTTAAAAATACGAATTAGAAACAAAATGATTCTAACTGCAAAAAAATAAGCCCAACTGAACAAATCTACTTTCATTACGAGGTTTTTTTTTTAATTTTAAGTAATCTCTACACCCAATGTGAGGCTCCAACTCACAACCCCAAGATCAAGAGTCACATGCCAGCCAGGCGCCCCAAGAGTTAAAGAAAAAAATTTCAGTTATCCAATGATTTGCTTTAAATCATTTCAGTATTTTTTACAACGTTAGTTAAAACCTTTCTCATTTAAGGTGCCTTAGTAAGTAATGTTTTATCAACATAAAAACTCCTCTTATGAAAACACACATTATGAGGGAGAGAAACTACTTAAGGCTGTCTACTTTGATTCTCAATTTCCTTCCTTTAGGGGAAGAAGAGGGGTGGCAGATGACACTTTAGTTTTCTTTACTGAGCACAAAAGGTTACAGCACCTAGCTTGGAACTATGAATGAACAGCACGGCCATTTACAGAGTGATGGAGAACAACGGCAATATCTGGAGAGAGCCTCTGACCACACATGCTCACAGCCCTGGCCTGTGAGGGGCACAGACTGAACCCACCTACTGGCCAACCCTCACCACTTTATGACAAAAGTGTAGAACAGAATAAAAAACAAAATGCTTTGGTGGACCAAGAATATTTAACAGTATGGATTATTTAAATGTTCCAAAGGAATGTAGAACTACTCAACAGTATATAAGCAAAACCATCTAGTTTTGATGCTTGTCATTTTTTTCCCTATTAGGAGGTTCAAGGAAATCTACATGGACAGCCCTGACACACCCTTTTCTGAAAGCACAACCCACTTCCCAGAACCTCCATCAAAATACATAGCTGAGTGACTTTGAAGACGTTAACTCAGGCACTGAGGTTACAGGATTAGCAGGTAGCTTCCTAACTGAGGCTAATGATTGGGGGCAGGGGTTGGGCTCGTGGATTGAGGGGAGAGGCAGCATATAAGCCTCTGAAGCTATATGAAAAATGTCTATATATTTCTTTTTCTGGGTGGGGGAGGGGTCTGTGACTTTTTCCAGAGTCTCAAAGGAATGAGACCACCACTGTGAGAAAAGAAGCATTCTAGGCCTGTCCGGTCTGAGCTCTATTTCCAGCTACTGGCTGACCTCAGATGAGCAGCTGCCTTGCTCAGGACTCTTCTCCCACGGAAAATGCTGCTCTGATTCCATTACTCTTTCGTCACTTACTGAGTAAGGGAGCAACGCTGTTCTTTCAAGTTGAGTCACCTCCAGGGTGACTCCTCATGTTAGCCTCTTCCTGAAGTGAAAAGATAAGGAGTGTGAGGTGGGGAAAAATGAGGGGTCAAGAATAAAGAGGCCAGATGTCCTGTCAGAGGCTCTCCTCCTTCCTGAGTGTGTGGACTACAACAGCACGCAAGTCTCTGCACTGCTTGACAACATAACAGTGCTAAGAAATAAATTCTATAACTTACTGAAATGTCCAATTCCACCAGAAGAGTGGTTTTTATGGCGTCATCTGTAGTCAGTTGAACTGCCTTTGAAATTGGAACTTGAAAAATTGGATCCACTGAAATCACAGATGCTTGGCTTTCCTCCTTGAGAAATAAATGTGATAAAATATTACAAAATGCAATTTTCAATTTTACTTGCCATTGCTTCACTTAGTGACCAGATAAGATCTATAGGATTTTATAAAATAGCCTAGATATTTAAGTATTCTTTTCTAAGGCAAATGGCTATAGACATAGGCCTCTCAATCTTTTAGAAGAGATAGCTCATCCATATCTTAAACTCCTTGACTATTAGATAAATTTCTGAGATAGATACTGAAAATTATCAGATACCAGCATTTTCCTGTAAAGGTCTAACAGTCTTCCAAATAAACCATGTTAAAGGAGACCATATGCATGCACAATTTCAAGGAGATTCTAAAGGAAAGGACATATTTGGGGTTGGGAGACGCCTGCACAGAGGTTCACAAGAACCTGCAGAGTGGTGGGCCCTGGTGTGGGTATGTTCCACACTTGTGCTGGTCAGTCCAGGAGCCACCAGCCATGTGCCTAAGCACCTGAATTCTTAGTTTTATTTTCATTTATTTAAGCGGCCATGCGTAGCTAGCGGCTCCTGTATTAGACAGCACAGGTCTTGGGAAACCACAAAGAACCCAATTCGTTGTACTACTTCTGCTCCTTTTCTAACTTGATGTTTCTAAGTTCTGTTGAAGATAGAAACTTTTAAAATGCTAAACAGTTAATACTGGACAAATGGCCATGTGGAAAAACTGGGAAAAGGATCAGAGCTCAGAGCCCGACATGACATATGGGGCACTGGGAGATGTCCCTGCCTAAGAGAGCCTTCAGCAAGGCTGCTAGGAACGCTGTCAGCAGATGGCCCTCAGCTAGCTCACAGTCACCTTGGAGAGTGACCTCAGCATTCCCAGGTCACGCATCCTTTCAGAGGCAGCCCACATCCAATGGCTAACTGAGGACTATAAATACCCACCCCCTTTGTCCCAACTCAGGACAATGTTGAAGGGCCATCCCAGCTCCGGAGAACCCTGTGAGGCTGGCTGGGGCCTTTGCTGGGACACATCACAGCCCACTTCTCACTGTGCCCAACTCCAGCTTCTGTCCCCTCCATTCCCCAAGGTGAGGATCCCAAGGGGATAACTAAGAAATAATCACAGAGTTTGATTCAAAGGAACCCAGTCTGTGACAGATGGTGCTAGAGAGGTTTCAAGGAAGATGCTAAAACGGGAGTCTGGAGCTGGATCACCGACCTGGCTGGCAATGAGCACCCAACACTGGTGACAGATGGGACACAGAGGGCACAAGGTGACAAGTGCAAGAGCTAAGTGGGACGGTGCACCAGAAAAGGGAATGCATTAGCCAGTACACAGGAGCTGGTGCTTGAGATCTATGGGGAAATGGCACTGATGAGGCCAGGAGAATTGTGGGCATTGCCAGGCTCCACGGACACTTCTGGAAAAAAAATGCAAAAAGCTGAGAAAAACTAATCAACGATTAAACACTAAGTGTGAAAGCCAGAAAACATGCTCTGTAGCACACAAAGAAGCTGCTCGTCTCTTACAGACTGACAGAATGCTAAGGCCTAACTCGGACAGGCAAAGAATGGCCTCCAGGCAGCTGAGAGAGGGACATGTGGGTTGAAAATCTTGAATCCCTAGATTCCCTTGCACCTGAGTCTGCAAAAGTGACTACTACTTCCTATGAAGAGCAAGAATTTTCTTCTTGCATTAAGACCTCTGCCCTGCAAGACACGCCCACATCCCCAACTCCTGCATCCCATCTCCTCTCCTAACTGCTGAGCCAATAAGGGTTAAGTCCAGGCCTCAGATGGGCTGGACCAGCTAAGGCAAGTGAGGGACCATGCTCTGAAGAAAGTGTAGAACACAGCAACACGCACCAGTAGAAACCAGCAAGGTATGTACAAGATGGAATGTTGAGGTCCTGGGCCAACAAGGTTAGAACATCAACTTGGAAAGAGGAGTTTTGCTCATTGGGAGCACTATCCCAGAATACTGGCTTTAACTAACCTTGGCAACACTCTCTAGAGATGGTTTTGAGGCCAAGGAGAAAGCAAAAGTCCAGACTTAATGAGACAGAACTGCTGAGAGTTCCATGGCCAGCATCAGATGACAGGAGTAAAAAGCCCAGAGATGCGGAGAGTAGAGTGGATGAAACTATGAAGAGCCAAAACCTATCAGATGACGATGTTCCCTGGAGCACCCAGAGCATACACCATTGCCTAGGCCGACAGGGACAGTGCTGGGGAGGGGCACCAGCATCACGGAGAAGTTCAGGGCTGGCTGCTCTGCTGGCCAGAGACAACAGACTGGGCCAACAGCAATGGGAAAACCTGGACCACCAAAGAACAGAGGGACGTTGGAGCACTTAGCCAGCAAAGTCCTGCAGGGTGTTAGAGGGAGGCATAATTATCACAGGAGAAAGGCTGGAGGGGCTGCTGGAAGCAGCCCCCCACAGGTGGTGTAGGTTGGTGGGGGAGACTCGGCAACAGCACAGAAACTGTACTCAATAAAGTCCTTCTTCCAGGGGGTAAACATATACTGGGCCAAAGGGAATACCCAAATACTCCAGGAACTGCTAGAAGAGGGTCCAAGTTAGGCTGTTACCCAGGAACCCAAAGTGTAATCATGGGCACATACTAGAGTGGGGCCTACAGGGCCAGGCTGTAAATGGGAATCCTAGGCCAGGTCTGGCTCCATGGGTCCACTCAGTTCTTGGCCTGTGGTTAAGGGCTACATTGTGGAGAGGCCAAGAGGAAGCCTCTGAATTTGACACTGTCCTCTCCCCTCACCCAGGTAGAAAGTGAAAAATACAGCATCCTGAGGAATGGCAGGTATCAATACCACCCCTAAAAATACACAGGACCAGGGACGGTCTCCATCTAACTGACCAACCTGGTCCCTGCATGCAACCAGGTGGATCCTGGGGGATGACAATGAACCACAAGGAACACAAGCAGTTGCCCCAACTGCGGCCTCCGTGAAGGATGGTTTCCTTCGCTAGAGCTGATTCAGATGGCCTCAGATACATGGCGTGTGGACAGAGGGAGCCACGGTGCTCTTTTCCAGCTCTATACCTAAAGAGGGCCACACGCTTTCACTTGGAACAACTTCCATTTACAATTTTGCCGCAAGGTGGTGATAACGCTCCTGCCAGCTGTTACAAAACAGTCCGAAGCAACGTGGAACATCTGGACGCTCAGCAAAACATCACACCAGCCCACTACACCAGGGACATCATGCTACTCACACTAAACGTGCAAGAAGTGGCTAGTGTGTGCAAGTCTCTGGAAAGGTCCAGGCCCTGTGCAGACTGAAGGCCCAGTGCTCCAAGTACAATTTCCAGGAGCCCAACGGCCTGGGGCATGCCAGGATGCCCCCTCCAGGAAAGGACACGCTCATGCATCCTGCACCTCACTTCCCCGGAGAGAAGGAGAACAGAAGGTAGGCCCTTCAGGATCTGGAGCAGCACCTCCCACCCCTGGGATGACAGCTCCAACCCAAACAGCAGGTGACACAACAGGCAGCGGCTGAGAGAGGGGCCCTGAGCAGGAAAGGGCTGTGTGGCAGGCCCAAGTGATGGAGTGGACGAGAGCCGCTGTGGCTTGTCCCACAGGATCCAGACACCCCACAGGCTATGAGACACCAGGACTGGCGGAACATATGCTGCGTGGAGCGGGACTGGCTGGGAAGACACTGAAGCTCAACCGCCTGCTCCACCCAGTGCTGCTCCCCCCTCCCCTCCTCGGGTCCCTAATGTGAGGATCCCAAGAGGATACCCCCCACCAAAAAAAAAAAAAATCATTTTCCAACCCCTTATCCTCTAAGTGTATCCCTTGAGCAAATGTACACAAATAGGACTTAACTAGTTGAGATTTTAAAAACCTTTCCACCACATTACCAGCAACTAAAGCCTCTTTAACGACCTGTGCCATACCGGAAGCGTTCTCAGGTCCTCCTTCTGAAGCACCCCATCCGATAAATCACGTTCCTGTGCCTCTGCCACATGCACTGTCCTTGTGGCGGGCGGCAGGGCGCTTCTACCTGTCCATGCGCCCACACCCCGTCCAGCCACAGCCTTACTGGATGCACTCCTGTCTAGTCCCAAGCCTGACAAAAATGTACTCATTGTAATTACCTCACGTAACTAAACAGTTTGCAAAATAATGAAGCGTAAGTGGAAAACAATACCCGACAGCTGTTTCTATAAACACGTTTGTTTATCTGAATGCTCTAGAAAGACACTATAAGCAGATGTTAAAAAACCACTATCCTATCAGGTGTTGGCCAACAGTTCTAATGTACTAGAAAGTTATATTTAAATTGCTTCTCAAGCGTCTAAGCCCTGCTTCATTAAAATAAGAAATCAAGAAACAAATCGTGATCCTGCACTGAGGGTGAAGTTTATGGGAGAAAGCCCACGTGGAACCCCACAATGAGCCACTCTAAAGAAAGAGGGCATGGCTCTCCATGGAAAGATTGGCTGCAATGGAAATTTATTCTAGATATGTTGGAAGAAGTTTCAGGGTGCCATATGCTGGCATTAGTGAGGAGAAATGAGTTGTTATTCAACTTAATGCTCAAAATTTACATACTACTTTAAAGGCACTTCTTTATTGTTAGAAAAAACACACTTGACCAAAAAAAATGGCAATATAGGCAAAAACTGGTCTGTAAGATGTTACCAAGCAAAAGATTAATCCTGGGGCGCCTGGGTGGCTCAGATGGTTAAGAGTCTGCCTTCGGCTCAGGTCATGATCCCAGGGTCCTGGGATCGAGCCCCGCGTAGGGCTCCTGGCTCAGCGGGGAGCCTGCTTCTCCCTCTCCCTCTGCCTCTCCCCCTGCTCATGCTCTCTGTCTCTCTATCTCTGTGTCTCAGATGAATAAATAAAATCGTTAAAAAAAAAAAAAAGAAGAAGAAAAAGAATAACCCCCAAAGTGGAGCATTCCAGGACACCACAAGTCCATGCTGGAAAATAGATTTTACTGTGAATTAATGCTTCAAGTGTAGCCGAGGTAATTTCCTGAGTGCCCACAACAACTGGCCACCACCTGACTCACATCTAAAATGAGAAACAAAGCAGAAGTGATATAATACAAGTGCTTCTGCAATGCCCAGGCAAACTTTCTCTGTAAGGGGCCAGACAGCAACCATCTCAGGCTTTGCCAGCCTCCGGGTGCCCCCTGAACCCTGCCGCTAGAGCGCAGGAGCAGCCACAGACCACATGGAAAGGACCAGCAGGCCAGGGTCCCAATAAAGCTTTGCTTCCAAGACAGGCAGTGGACCACATCTGGCCAACAGGCCAGTTTGCTGACCTCTGTTGTAATCTAATGAACAACAAAGCAAAACCCTGGGTAAGTTAATACTCTACAGCCTGAGGCATAAAGTAAAACCACTTACCTGCCCGAGAGACTCCTGCAGATGCACCTGCAAATATTCTGGTGGTAAGGCGGGAATATTCAGAGAGGCTTGTGAAAGTGGGGGTATCGAGTGGGTAAGTGAGGACTCAGATTCTGCTGGTGGAGCACTTGACTGATTTCTGTTCACTGTATTCTGTTCCCGCACCTCAGAATCCTTTCTCCCCGGATCATCTAATCTCAGAAGTTCAACTTGTGATTCAATGTGTAATAATTCTGGTTTCACAGGATCCATCCGTTGGGAGGCATTAGATGCCATCTTGAGAGCCCCATTCCTCTCCTCTTTTCCTCTACTGGCCATAAAATGCTTCGTGAGGGCAGCCCAGAGTCCGTCAATCCATGGCTCAACCACAAGTTCTAAACTAGATTGTTGTAATAAAAAAGGAAAAAATAAATCCCTAAGGTGTCTATTTAAATATATAATAATGGGACAATGGCAGTCTACTTGACAGAATGCTATGCAAATGCCAAAAACACTAAATACAATGACTATTCAGAATACAAAAGATACCTCTATCATTAAGTTAAAAACATTATCGTGTGCTCATTAGAACTTCACCTGTAAAAAAATTGAGCACATATAAAGGTCAGAACAAAAATGAAGGCATTTTAAAAGTAATAGGTAACAGGAATGAGATTGCACTTAACTTCCTAAAATATAGTTGGCAATATTTTAAGAAGTTGTAATTTTAAGAAGGCATGAGAAATTCTGATGAGGTTAACAGAACTTATCCCAAATCCAAGTCTATTCTAACATCACATGATAATTACATATGTCAAACGCACCATCATTTCCCCCCCCAATTTAGTGATTTTTTTTTCCCCTATAGATTAAAGATCACCAAAAAAATCACTCTGGATTAATGCTAGGTATTCTAAGTAAACAGTTCAAACCTTCAACCGGTTCTGAACATTTCTGATGAAATTTTCAGGAAGTCTGAACATGAGAAAAAAAAAAACCCTAATTTTCCTTTAGGAAAGTTGAATGAATCATAGGTGCCTTTTAGAATGTGGTAGCATATTTACTAATAAAGTAGGGCAAGCCAACAACAACATCCCCTACATTCCCATGGAGAAACTTGAAGTAAACTGAACAGGTAAGAAACCGTGCATCAGAATCTTGGAAATCACCTCCTTCTCATTTTTAATCACAACTCAAAGGATGTATCAATTAAATTCTAATTCATAAAGTTAAATGACAGTAGGAGGCACATTTCAGACCTCCGTCTTATTATGATTCTAGCTATAATCTCATTAGTACACGCATCACCCCTCAGAGCCTTTGGAAAATCAAGTACATAAAATTCTGCGTTCAACAATGACAGCTATGTCTAAAACACCATTTTCACAGCTCCGAAATATTAAGACAATAATACCCCCAACAGGAGAGCTAATTTTGGGGCGCCTGGGTGGCTCAGTCGTTAAGCATCTGCCTTCGGCTCAGGTCATGATCCCAGGGTCCTGGGATCGAGTCCCACATCGGGCTCTCCGCTCAGCGGGAAGCCTGCTTCTCCCTCTCTTGCTCCCCCTGCTTGTGTTCCCTCTCTTGCTGTCTCTGTCAAATAAAAAAAAAAAAAAAAAAAAAAAGGGAGCTAATGTCCACGGAGTACTTACTACAGGGCAGACATTATTCTAAGAGGACAACCTATATCAATTCATCTGTTCCTCCCAAAAAAAATCTCCACAGCACACACTATTATCCCCTATTTCACAGAGGGAGAAGGTGAAGCCCACAAAGACACAAAAGGTAAGGAACATGACCAAGATTTCAGTCAGTGAAGGGGGAGAGTGGTTATCAAGGATCTGCACGCAGGTAACTGGACTGCACTCTGCGTTCTTAACCCCATCAGTGTGGGGGCTGCTACACTAAGCCAGGATATATCCTTGAAAATAATTCAAGGGAGGTGGTCAGGTTGAAAATTTAAGAGATGCAGGCTGATGAAATACACATTCAAGAATTTTAACACTGGATCCAGTAAATGAACAGGGAAATGGAAGGCCTCTGAAGAGAAAGAAAATATGAACTCAGTGATAGGCCTAATGGGTTCTGGAAGAAGTGAGCAAGTAAATGGCTCATTGAGACAATAAACACTTAATGGCAACAGGACTCTGGCAAAAAACAACAAAACCCACACACACACAAAATCAATATAAAGAGACAAAACTAAAAGGTGAACATGCAAGGCAATATGGTAGAGCTTCGTCACAATCAAGACCATATGCACTGGGGATGTGGGGAAAAACCAGCTCATCGCCGCCACAGAAAATGATGAAGTGGAGGGTGAGCTACGTGGAAGGAGAAGTGTCTCCAGCACATCTGTGCAAGGTGGTGCTATGCAGAAAAGCAAGACATTCGCTGAATTTGTCATTCATAAACAAAGATCAAGTAAGTAAGAAGTTAATATATACACCAAGTAGGAAAAAAATCAAGTGGCTGTGCTGTCATCTGCGGAAATAGCCAAAGGCTAAATGATAAACTTAGTTGTAGGACAACATCTATAAGATCTTTGAATAAAGGGGCGCCTGGGTGGCTCAGTTGGTTAAGCGACTGCCTTCGGCTCAGGTCATGATCCTGGAGTCCCTGGATCGAGTCCCGCATCAGGCTCCCTGCTCGGCAGGGAGTCTGCTTCTCCCTCTGACCCTCCCCCCTCTCATGTGCTTGCTCTCTCTCATTCTCTCTCTCTCAAATAAATAAATAAAATCTTTAAAAAATTAAAAATTTAAAAAAAAAGATCTTTGAATAAAGACATAAAGAGGATTTGAAAGGTAGCACATAGGGTGAAATACGAACTGTAAAAACAAGAGTAAACTAATGGAAACAGGAATTATTTTTCTGGCTGGCATGGTGGCAAGCGGCCATTAGGATGGTAAGGAGAGAGCCAAGGCACGCAGCGTGCTGTGAACGCCTCTGGTCTGTGTTCTCTGCTGGGCGCCCTCCATGGGAGGGCCCGCATCCAATCACTGTGCGTGCACGGCAGAGAAGCAAACGCACAGGCTATCAAAGTTCCTAAAGAAAATGCGGACTTCGGGCGCCTGGGTGGCTCAGACGGTTAAGCGTCTGCCTTCAGCTCAGGTCATGATCCCAGAGTCCTGGGATCGAGTCCCGGATCGGGCTCCCTGCTCCTTGGGAGCCTGCTTCTCCCTCTGCTTCTCTCTCTCTCTCTCTCTCTCATGAATAAATAAATAAAATCTTCAAAAAAAAAAAAAAGAAAGAAAATGTGGACTTCTACAAATGCCTACACACCTCAAGACAAAGATAACTTTCCTGGGGCATCTTTTCAAATTTCTTCCATTAGCAGCTACTGAGATGCGCGAGGCACTTAAAAAAGTCCACAGAATATATAAATCAAGCCCTGGCTGATCTTTGGTCCTAGAAAAAAAGCTAACAAAAGGAAAATAACACTCTCAAAATAAAAGCTTCAGTGCTAAATCAAAAATCATCATACTTTATAAACTCACAAACTTTCATCCAGTACACAGAAGGGCTGACTGGAAATGGCGGAGGAGAAGCACGCTGCTCTTACCCCACACAGTCATCCGCATGTCCCGTGTCATAGAAATGCTGGGCACCAAGCTCCTGAAGTCGCTTATCAATGATCTTCCCGCCATTACAGAAGTATGTGTATTCTGAATCACCGAGCCCTAAGGAGCCCAAATAGGTTATGAGTGCACACACAGTAAGGTTTAAATTTAAAGAAGAGATACAAATATTTAAAACAATACCATTCCATGCTCTGATTAATAATGCACACCTTCATATCTTCTGAGGCTTTCCTTGAGTAATACAAATATTTGCCTTCTATTTTACAATATTAAAGTGCCAGACCCATCAAAACAGAAACAAACACTTCTTGGCCACTCTTAACAGGAATATTTTCACATTTTTGTTTCCATGAATCTGTGTAAAAATATGGGAATCTTAAAAGAATATTTTATCTTAATCTTAAAAGATTAATCTTAAAAAATAATTTTAAAATAATTAGGTTAAAAAAACATAGTATCTGTATTTGCAGACTTTTCTGATCTAGTGAAGAGGTCTGCAAACTACAGCCTGTGGGCCAAACACCACTCAGTCTTTCTCCATAAAGCTGTGTTGGACCACTGCCAAGTCCACTTGTTCACCCACTGTTTATGGCAGCTCTCCAGCTCCAACAGCAGAGTTAAGTAGTTGTTATAAAGAACACATGATCTGCAAAGCCTAAAATATTTATCATCTGGCCTTTATTGATTTTACTGACCCCTAATTGAGAGCACAGACAGGTACATCTGCAACACAATCATTGTGTTAGATGAATTAGGAACTGCTATGTTTCCTAGTAAGAAAATGGACTAACATTTTCATACTTGGTTAAAAATTTAAGATTAAAAGCATCAATTTCTCAGTTGTTTAATCATCTCCATGTACTTCCACAAAAAAAAAGAACAGGGTGAGCAATTGTTGGGGGGGGTCCATAAATGGCCTCGGAGTGACTAGAATGCTTGGATACTTTTTTTGAGTAATTTTTTAAAGCAACACATACATGTTCATTCTTCAAAATAAAGAAATTAGAAAAACCTGAATAAAAAATGTAAATATTCTAAAATAAGTTATACAAGAGAGATCTTAGCCAGGGTCATAACCTCAAATTTCTAATCAGTTACTTATCATAGCATAATCCATCTTTATCAGATACCCTCCCCCAAACTAATTCTCAAGGAGGATTTAAGAAACAGATCACAAGCCAGGAATACGGGCTCTGAATTCTCTCCCTGGTGTCCTATCTTACTGAGCTGGTCCTTCTGATCCTTTATCTTAGTTTTTTAATCTATACTTCACAGAGCCCTAGGCCAGTGTTTCCTAACCTGGGATGCATATTTGAATCACCTAGGAGTTTTTAAAACTACTGATGCCAGGGCTCCACCTCCAAACAATTAAGTAAGAATCACTGGAGGTGGGACCAGGTAACAGAATTCAAGGAAATCCTCCCCCATCTGATCCTAACATATGGCCGGGATTGGCAATCATCCTAGGGCAGTGGTTCTCAGGGAGATCAGATCTACCTGGGAGCTTCTGGATTTTTCTTTTTTCCTCTTAAAAACAACAACAACAAAAAACCCAATAAAATAGAATTCAGAGTTGCTCCTTCAGGGTTTTTCTTTCTTTTTTTTTAAACCAAGTTTGGGCAGGGGTGGGAGTGGACCAGCCGTTGATATTCTGAAAAGGTTTCCTAGTTGAATCTGATATGCACCCATGGTTAAGAATGCTACTCCAGGGGCTCCAGAGGAGCCGCTATGGGATGAAAACAAAGGAGGCATTCACAGAACACAGGACATTATAGAAATGTATAAAACATGTAACTGTAAATAGAAAACCAAGAACAAAATCTATACAACCATATATCATGGTTTTGAAGGATACACTCAAATACCAGAATTAAAACCAGGAATAACTGAGGGCAGGCAGAACGCAAACACAGTCCATACCCAGTAATCCATAGTGCAGGTGAGCAAAGAAATCTGCCGGCAGAGCCTTGTCCTGTATCGCTTTCACGAACTTGCGCGCAGTGTCAGGTGGGTCTCCAGTGCCAGTGGTGGAAACAACCACAACAAGAGGCGCGGTTTCAGTTTTCAGATCATACTACAAAATGAGGACGGCATGTCAGGGATCTCCGGCTGTACACAGTTTTGATTTAACACATCAGCAAGGCAACCAGCTAGGTCTCTACCCAGAACCAGTCATCCGTGCTTCATGTGGCTTCACAGCACAGAGGGCGTGGAGCGTTTCCAAGTTGGGAAAGCGCAAATGTTACTCCTCAGACACCACGGAACCTGGCTCACTCCTCACCCCCTCCGGGTCCAGGGAGCTGGGAATACTGAGTGGGTAGATGGAGATCATCAGCATTTGATGTCTTACAGATCAAGTTCCTTCATTCTAATTCTCACCTAAATTGAAATATTCCAAAGAGAGCACTCACCCTCTCTATTTCTAATGATTCCATGAGCTCTACTGCTCATGTGTATCATCGAATCTGACTGAGGGATTCACTTATTTTTCACGCTGATACAAAGATTTGAGCTAACAGATTACTAGGTGATTCAATGCTTAGAGGGGACAGCACAAGCTGCGTATTGAACTTTTACAGTTAAAGTAACTTAACCTCGGAAAGGACTATCATGACCTAGGAGTAGATAGCTATCTGTTTAAACTTGGATCAAGAATTGGAGAAATCAATCAGCTGGGGAGAGCAAACAGGACTACTAACATGGCACGAAAAAAAAGAACATGTGCTATTCACCTAACGTTCAAATAGCTGCTGGCCTAGGTGGTGAGGTGACCCCGAGGGGCCAAATCAGGGCTACTTATATGGTGCTGACAACTTTTTGTTTGTAGTAACAGATTCAGATTATATTCTAGCATGTGGCATCCTCAACGCCAACACTGAAGTTACTGTAGGATTACAGAACCTGCTGATTGGTGGTGTCCTCCGGGATGCTCCCTGTTGGGTGCGTGGCTACATCTGGAGTCACCTTGACCCTGACGCATAAAGGAACATGAAGGTTCTCCTATGACCTGACTTTATAATTCACTTATGCTGCTGACAGTCTAGTCTTTTGAACTAGAGATGTGGGGAAGGCCAGAGGAGGTTATGAACTTGAGTCAACGTACAAGCAGGGTAATTTTTAAAGTACTGAACTAAATCTGACTTGTTAGCGGCTGGCACGTCAACTTGGGCTTATACAAAAGCTCCTGCTAGTTGCTGTGGACTGCATTGTCTAAGACAATAAAATCTGGAGAACTCAATCAGACTAACTGAAAGAAGAATACAGATGTTACAATCTTACGTGACCTAAGGGAGGAATTTCAGCAGAGACGGAGAATACAAATAAGCAGTCCCTGACCTAAAGAAGCTCAATCTTCTCTAGATCCTTACACTTCTGCTTTAAATTCTATTCCACAAAAGAACTGCATGGTCCTTCACTTGAAGGAACTCTGACATGAATGGCAAGGTCTTTATTTTGGGGAAATACAAACGGGGCACTGGGATTTGTGAGCTGGAAAACACACATGTGCAGGTGAATACACACCTCTTTCGTTCTCACGGCTGCCCTGAGAGATAAACAAGGCAAACACTACTACTTCCCCTTATGGTTGAGGAGTAATTACTTGTTTCGGGTTTTTGAGACTGTTTAGTCTAATTCAAATGTACACTTGATTTGTTAGAAGAACGACAAATCTTACAACACAGTTGATAAAGTAAATTTGAGTGTTGAAAAAAAAAGTATGGAGGCATTTAGCAGCCTACTTCGCTGTTTAACATCGCCTCCCAACCAAAATACTTCAAGCACGAAACAGTAAAAACCATGAGTAACCATTTACCTTATCTGACTCGCTAATACAGTGAAGATCTGCAGAAAATCCATGTGCAAATGCTTTTTCACATATCTCTTCTGCTATGGCCTTTGCCTGTCCTTTCTGTGTAGCATAGAGTAACAAAAACCTCCTCATAACCTCACGGCATATGCTACAGCTTTAACACACTGTCAAAGAGAAGAGAGAAAAAGGGATTTTTTTTTTTTAATTGAGGAGTACACCACAGGTATTAATTCTCCCTCACAATCTTTTTAAAAGACTCCAACAATATCCACACATAACATTTAACAGATTTCTCTAAATATGTTAGTGTAATTCTCAGGGAGTCTAAAAAAGAGAATTCATCAAACCAGGGGGAATACAGGAGCAAAGCTCTAAGTCCACGGCTCAGAAATCCGACGCTGGCGTCAGACTACCTGCGCTCGAATCCAGCATCCATCACTCGCAACTGCAGAACTCCAGGCAAGCTTCTCAACGATCTGTGCCTCCGCTCTCTCACCCTTAAAATGGGGATAACAGCACCCACCTGACAAAGATGTTTCACCTGCAAAGACCTGAACCTTGGCTGAGACACAGCAGTGTTCCAAAAACCTCAGATATTTTTATTTCAAAAAAATGTAATGGGGCGCCCGGGTGGCTCCGTCGGTGAAGCGTCTGCCGTCAGCTCAGGTCATGATCCCGGGGTCCGGGATCGAACCCTGAGTCGGTCTCCCTGCACAGCGGAGCGTCTGCTTCTCCCTCTCCCTCTGCTCTTACGCATGCTCTTGCTCTCAAATGAATGAATAAAGTCTTAAAAATAAAGAAAGTGTAAAAACTCCATTGGAAGTAAAGGCTTTTGTTCCTACGCGATCCTAATACCAAATAAGCTAATCACAGTGGTGAAGTTAATCAAGCTGCATACTCTGCTCTATTGTTTAACTCAGTATCAGGTACATATGCGAGTGCGGGGGAATATATGTATAGAGAGAGGAACTATTTCCAGTCCACCCAAGCTCAAACTGTTTTTCCGAGGAGAAAACCAGGAGTAAAATACGGAACTCGAGCCCGAGGGGAGGCGGTCTAGACAGACTTTTTTTCCCATACTCATCCAGGATCTAAAGCTGGGGCACCGTTGGGCGCCGGCTGGCTCAGCCGCAAGAGCGTTGAGACCCTTGATCTCGGGGTGGTGAACTTCAGCAGCCACGCTGGGTGTAAGGTTACTTAAATAACACTTAAAAAAAAAAAAATAGAACTGGGGGGCTGTCCACTTGGAGGAGCTGATTTCAATAAATCAGTATCAAGTCCTGGCTTTGGGGGAATGGACCATCAGTAGTTTTATGCTCCACTGACCAGGTACATCTAGGGATAAATTAAGCCACAGAGAAATTAGAAGAATTGTGTTAGGTAACGTTAAATCACGGAACGTCCTCAGGGAGCAGAACGGCGCCTGGCACAGAGCAGGTGCTCAGTAAGTCAGCTAAATGGATGCTGTGAAGACAACACACGTTTCGGACTCAGGAGAACTGCGGAAATGCAGTGACGGACAGGTCACCGCCTACCGTCACTCTAGCCAACGGCCTCGGGCCCTTCCTGGGCGCCAGGCACAGCCCCGGGCGCTCCCGTGGAGGAGGAGCCCCTCGGACCCACCACCCATTACAAAGGTCTGCGACCCCCGTTTCCCAGAGGCGGATCCCCGGCACCCGCAGAGCAGCAGCCCGCGCGCGCCCGGGGCCGCTCCCCTTCCCGCCGCCCCCGCGGGTCCCGCCGCCCCCAGGCTAGGGAAGTGTCCTGGACGGAGACGCCCACGGAGGGACCCACAGCGACCTGCGGGGCCAGCGCCGCCGCGCGGACGGACCCGCTCCCGGGGGGCGGCGGGAGGCCCCCGGGGCCGGCCTGGGGCGCAGCCGGCCCAGCCCTCCGCCCGGCGGGCCGGGCTCCTGACCGACCCGCGAGCGCCCAGCCCGGCCGCCAGAGGAACGTGCGGGCGCGGAGACCAGTGCCTTCCCCGACCCTGTATCGCCTCCCCGCCGGCTCAAGCTGGGCGGGCTGCCCGCCCGGGAAACAGCAGCCACCGGGTCTCACCTGAGGGAGGCCGGCCGGAGACACTCTAGGACCGCGCAGGACCGCCTAGGACCGCGAACCGTGCTCCCGCGCCTGCGCACTCTGTCACGGCGCGCGCCTTTCCAGCGCCCAAGACCAATAAGGAGCTCGGGAAGGAACTGGGCCAATCAAAGCGCTCCGGGGTGGGTGTGGCCTTCTCCTTGCGCATGCGCCGGGCTGCTGGGGGGGTGGGGCCGGCTACGGAATGCGCGTACGGAGGCCCGCGAGGTTCCGGGGCTCGGCGCTGCTCGGAGCTCCGGCTGTCCGAGCGCGGTAGGTGTCCCGGCCCAACGTACGTGAGCCCGCGGCGTTGCCGAGGTGTCCGTGCTGCCGTGGCCGGCCACTCCTCTCCGGCCGGCGCCGCTGCACGCCGCGTGCTTGAGCTCAGGTTCCCGGGTCGCCGGTTTGGAGGCACCCGGAGCGTGGGGTCCTTTCACTCCTAGGAGGACGCGGTTCCTGGGGCGCCCCGTCCCCCCTGGACGGCACCCTCGTGTTCCCCAGTCCAGGCAGAGCGTTTAGGTCTACACGGAACTCCCACCTTCCTCCCTCAGTGCCCCGCATCGTTTTACTTCTTTTAGATCTGCCTTTCCCCCCCTTGGCCAAGCTAGACCCCTTTCTTCCTCAGCCCTGTCCAGATCTTTACTTCGAGGGGGAACGCCTCAGGCCTTTTACACGTGTTTGGACCCTTGCTTTGCGTTGACCTATACGAATTTTGGCCCTTTTCCCCGTTGCTCCTTTTGGGTATATTAACCTAACGCAGCGCTTTCTGTCAGCCAACACAGAGGAGGCGTGTTTAGGGTGTAGCCCGCCCCAGTGTGAATCCCAGCTCTGCCGCGGACGAGCTGTGCACACCGGACAAAATAACCTCTTTGGGCTCAGTTTTCTCATCTGTAAAATGAGGAGAAGTACTTAATTCTTTGTGTTGTGAGGGTTAAGCTCTACCGGCAAAACACAGGGGTGCATGGCAAATAATAGCGAGTATTATTCTCAGCTGCCACTTTTCCAAGCTGTGGGATGCAGAGATTGATGTTTGGGTGCTTGTGTTTAAGTGGGAGGTTTTTATGAATCCTCTGTCACAAGTACTCGTCCTTAGTTTCATAAGCATTCATGTTGAGTTATGCTGTGTGTATATTTGACCATGTTTTTTATTTCCTCTAGTTATAAATCAAGAAGAGTTGAGAATCTGATGGCATGGCTTTAATTACCTTGCGGAGGAACCTTTGCCATTTGTCTGATTTTCGGATCCACGGAGCTCTGGCTGCTTTGAAAAATCATCCTGTAATTCATGTTCACAAGGTTTCCGAGGAGCGTCTGTGTCCGTGGTTCTGTTCACCACAGTCTGAGCCTTTCAGGGTCAGATTCCATCATGGCTGTTGTAAAAAGTTCCATTCAGAAAATGGAAATGACCTTCATCCCGTTGGTGAGCCGGTGTTCTCTCAAGCACATGATTGGGATAGGCCTGAACAAAATCTTAAAAGTGTGGATGAACAGATGTTTTACAGGAGACTGAACAGCTTCACCTCATCAGAAGAAGTGTTAAGTTTTATAAGCACACTGCAAACTTTGCCTGCTACTCTAGCAGCAGGAGCCTTACAGCGGATTTGTGAAGTGGAAAAAAAAGATGGTAGTCAAAAGTTGCCAAAAGAAATACTAAAGAATAGTGTCTTTCAAGCCTTATGCATTCAGTGTGAACAGGAATCCTCAGGTCTGCCAGACGCCGTTTTGGTGACTGCTTTGCAAGCCCTGACTCTGTTGCAGGTGGATCCCCACAGTAGCTTGTTACTGAACCTGGTGACAGAATGCCATTGTCGTCTCAAACGGGGTGGCCTGGAAGTTCACAGTCTTTGTATTCTTGGGGAAAGTCTGATTAAACTGCAAGGTCCAGGCTGTGCTACGCTAGAACTGATTATATGTCAACTGAAAAGTGAAAAATTGGAAGAATTTACTCCTGAGGATATTGTGGCCCTTTATAGGATACTGCAGGCTTGTACTGAAAAAGTGGACCAACACCAAGCATTTCTGAATAAGTTAAACAACTTCTCTCTGTCGGTAGTTTACCACTTGAGTCCTACATTGATGAGCCAAGTGCTCAGTGCCCTCGCGGTTCTTGATCAAACTCAGGCACTTCCTCTGGTTATAAAATTGGGAAAATACGCTGTGAGGCATATCCCTCATTTTACTAACGAAGAGCTCAGAAAAGTCTTAGAGGCTTTCATATGCTTTGGGCACAATGACAGATTTTTTACAAAAGCCCTAGAGCGACACGTAGCTTCAGCGTGTCTCACTTTGGATCCTGAGGTCGTCAGCAAGGTCATGGAGTACTGCAGTAGGAAACGGATACTTTCAAAACCCATCCTCGATGCAGTGGCAGAAACCTTTGTTTGCCAATCAGAAAAATTTTTGCCTCATCAGATTTCTGAGTTAATCGAACCATTTGGAAAACTCAGTTATTTGCCCCCGAATGCCTCTGCTTTATTTAGAAAGCTAGAAAACACGTTGCTCACTCATTTCAATTATTTTCCACCCAAAACACTACTGAAAATTCTCCATTCTTGTTCACTAATTGAATGCCATCCGGTCAACTTCATGGCAAAAATATTCAGCCCCTATTTTCTTCAAAAGCTGCAAGGTGAGTTGGTTATAACTTCTGAGAGTGGGGAAATCGAACGTGTACTCTTTTCAAGTCGTGTATCTACCTGTACACTGAACAGTGCGTCACCTCTGTCTTCTCTTCCGTAATAACCTAAAGACGAGCGTCAGGTGCTAGTGGATACAGAGTTCCAGGATGATGGAACACTGCACAGAGAAAACAGTTTCTGGTCAACAGACTGCCAGCCTGAGTCTCGTGGGACGTGACGTGGCCCTGGTCGTAGTCACAGCATGTCAGAAGCCGTGAACGCAACTGGCAACTTCTCGGTTTTGAAAGGATGGCGTTGGTCGTCTCAGTTGATGGCCACCCAAATATGTCAGGTGTCCACGTCTCCACAGTTAAAGGAAATTCTCAATGATTTTAACATACCTGGTACTTTGAATTATATTCTGTAGTTCGGAGCTTGAGTTCCTTGGAAGTTAAAATGAAATTGTACTGATGGCAAGCAAGAGGGTATAATTAACTCTGACATGTTCTTTTCCCAGAGTCATTTAAAAGTACATTACTTCTGGAGTGATCGGTGTGCGTTGCGCATTCCTGGATGTACCTTTCTTTTGTCACACATAACAAAATCCAAACTTAACTACAACTGGAATGCTTTTTATTTCAGGTGAAGAATTGTATTTGGACAGACTGAGCCTTGCGCAGCTGACCCAACTGTTCTTAACCTCAGTCCTAGAATGCCCTTTCTATAAGGTAAGAGCAAAAGCCGGGCTGCCTTATTTCCCTGTGCGGGCAGCTTTCTTTTGTCTCCCCTCTCCCAATCTTTTAAGTTTCTCCTCTTTTGATCTGTCTCAGTAACCGCATCAGAAAGCAGAACTTTCATTCACTTGGAGTTACTTGCCACCAGGTAGCCTTTTCTTTGATATTGAATTGGCCCCATTCCTGTTGTCTTTAAAGGAACCGTTTCCTGCGGCAAGGTGTCTTGGAAGATTTTGTCCTCCAATCAGAACGATTCACTCTGCTGGCTGTGAAGGCTTTAGCACTCCCCATATCTGTGAGATACAAAAGTGTGAATCTCTGGACTGAGCAAATCCTAAATGATTTCAAGTACATTTTTAAGCCAAGCCAGACATTTCCCTCTTCTCTGATAGGGTTCAGTGTAGGTGCAATTTGTGCTTCCCATCTAGTACTCTAGAGATTCATTCTCCTAACTTAATCAGGCCCCTTGTGTTGGGTCACAGATGGCATCTCCAGACTTGCTCATCCCTGCCTGGTCCTCCGGGCTAGACGGAGTCCCCTTTAAGAGTAGCTCATTTCAGGGCGCCTGGGTGGCTCAGTTGGTTAAGCGACTGCCTTCGGCTCAGGTCATGATCCTGGAGTCTCGGGACTGAGTCCCGCATCAGGCTCCCTGCTCAGCAGGAAGTCTGCTTCTCCTTCTGACCCCCCCCCATGCTCTCTCTCTATCTCATTCTCTCCCTCAAATAAATAAATAAAATCTTTAAAAAAAAAAAAAGAGTAGCTCATTTCAGAGTAAGGTGTAAGAATGGAGGTACCACTATTTTCTTCTTTTTTTTTTTTAAAGATTTTATTTATTTATGTATTTGACAGAGAGAGGGAGCAAGAGCACAAGCAGGGAGAGCAGGAGAGGGAGAAGCAGGCTCCCCGCAGAGCAGGGATCCCAATGCGGGGCTCAATCCCAGGACCCCAGGATCATGACCTGAGCTGAAGGCAGAGGCTTAACCGACTGAGCCACCCAGGCGCCCCCCACTGTTTTCTTTAAAGCAGCTTAAACAGTGCTAAGGCACGTAGAGATCAGTGGTACTTAGGCCCAAGCTCCTTCCATCCCTGAAGGAGCAGTGTTGACAACAGTTTTTATGGGCAGATGCGCACAAATGCACGAACACTGTCTTGGTTTCTCTCTTGCCTTGGAATGGGGCTACTGCAAGGACAGTGTGCTTGTGTCTATCCAGTATGTCACAGACGTTCCTCGGGGGCAATACACAAAGATTGAGTGCATTCTTTTTAAGGATGGCATGCTATTTCCAGATACTCGTTCTGTTGCATCATTGTTGGACTTCCAGGTTTTCCCCAGCATTTCTCTCCATCAGCGGGCTGTAGTAGACATCTCTACATGTCCTTCCCTGCTGGAGCCTTTTTGTTTTTTGATCTAGAGACTAGATTCCTGAAAGTGAGATGATTGCATCACCCACAGATTTGTCGCCCCTAATGGTTGTAGATGTCCCTGCCTCTTCTGTCGCTGTGTGTTATCAGTCCTTTAATTGTTGTCATTCGACTCCAGGAAAAAGACTACTGTGTCACATGTTTAAATTGCATTTTAATGAGCAATAATGAGTTGAACATATTTTCACAGTGCTTACTGGTCATTTACATTTGCTGTGAATCCTCTAGTGACCTCTTGAGTCAGGTTCCTATTGGGTTGTCTTCCTTTTTCGGGGGGGGGGGGTCTCATCCTGGAGCACATAAAATGGAGATGGTAGCTCCTGTGTATGGTGGTAGCTCCTTTTTTTTTTTTTTTTTGAGAGAGCATGTGCACATGTGCATGGGGGAGGGAGGAGGGTGCGAGCGGGGAGAGAGAGAAACTTAAGCAGACAACCACCCTGAACTCAGAGCCTGAGGCGGGGCTCGATCTCAGGACCCCAAGGTCATGACCTGAGCTGAAATCAAGAGTCGGACACTTAACTGACTGAGCCCCCCACGTGCCCCTGTAGTTTTTACTTCTTTGTTTGTTTTAATTTAATATTGTTTATGGTATCTTTTTGCTCTATAAAAATTTTTAAGTTTTCTGTAGTGAAATCTATCCATCTTTTATGATCTCTTCTCTCACTTCAGAATATTTTACCTGTCCTAAGGTAATATAAATATTTTTCTAAATTTTTAAAAACATCACTTCCCTTCCTGTATTTAGCGCTGTAACTCACCTGGAATTTATGACAGTCCACGGCGCATGCTAGAATTTTCACTTCATTCTTTCCCAGGTGGATTACCAGTTGCAGTATTTACTGTATAGCTATCCTTTTCTCCCTGAATTGAAATGTCACCTTTTTCATATTGTCCTCTGTTAAAAACGTGAGTGTCCTCAAGGCCCTTACAGCGATTCTGAGAGTTCCAGAGATGTTTCTTGAGCTGTAATAGCATTGTTGTTCCGTCCCTCCCTTTCTGTGACTTCTGACTACTTTGAAAACACATTTAAAAGATATATTGAACTATTGGATTTATTTTCTTGTTTTGTATCATATCTTCCTTTCTCACGTTTAAACATCCAATTTTTAGGGTCAGAAACTTCTTCCTAAATATCAAGTGAGGTCATTTCTTACTCCGTGCTCTTCTCTGGAGACGCCTGTGGATTTTCAGCTTTACAAATCTGTGAAGATTGGACTGATTGACCTTTTGGGAGCAAGATTGTATTTTGCTTCAAAAGTGTTAACGCCCTATTGTTACACAATAGGTGAGTAGTAGGGAGTTTTGCTGTTGTTTACCAGCCTCGGCATGCTGTCCTCTTTGGGAATCTGTGGGATTTAGTAGCCAGTGGAAGGCCTGGAAATGTAAAGCGGAGGTGGCCCTTCCCTGAAGGCAGATTGGAACAGTGGGTGAGCGGTAGGGCTGTGGAGTCCAGACGGTCGGAGGGAGTCCCACGTGGTAGGGGAATGTCTTTGGGCAGAGTAGCCTTTCTCTGCTTGCTTCTTTTCTGTAAAACGAGAGCAGGAAGCATAGTGACCCAGACTTAGGTAAGGACCAGGTGCGAGTGTAAAGTGATACCGGGAACGTGTGGGGGCTGTGGCGTTGCTCACTGTTGTCCTCCAGGGTGGCGCTGGCCCACACAGCAGCCAGGAGTCCCTGTGGCTACTCAAATTTCCATTAGCTCAGATTTAAAACCCATCCAAAGTTCAGTTCCTTGGAGACACACGTCAAGCGCTCAGGCTCCCAGGGGGCGGGCGGATGCCGTAGTGGACAGCAAAGGTGGAAACACGTGCTTCGCGGCAGAAAGTTCTGTTGCGCAGGGCTGGCCGGAGAGTTCAAGTCCTTTTGCCCTTCATGGTTTTCTAAAATTAATGAGTAAAAGAAAATCAGCTCGAAGGTGACAGTGTCTTATTGGCTTCAGGTGGTCAGAGCTCACCTCCCCCTTACGTGCTCTTTTAACAAAAGGAATGGCAGGCCATCAGAGGGAAGGTGGTGGGGGTCTGCTGTGCCCCGCGACCACACGTTGGGGTGCAGGAGGCATTGCCTACCGTGGAGGCTCTGGGAGCCCCAGGGATGAAAGTTTTTACTTGCAGAGGTTGTACCTGTACTTTGCTTAAAGGATTTTCTTCACTCCGGGTTGAAGGATGCCCACCACTTACTACAAGGAGAAGGAGAAAGCAGACGAGGTTCTTGTCACGCCCAATACCTTGAGGACCCACTCCTGGCTTTCGGGTGGTTGAGCTTCCTTAATTTAAGGCTGTCCTGGTTGATCATAGAGCTGGTTAAAATGAAATTCTCACCATGGTCTGGTGTGGTCATTGCTTCGCAGCCTTCAGCACAGCTGGGTGCATTGCGGTGTGGACGGATTCAAAGCAGGAGGAGGAGGACAGGCGCGTAGTGTTTGTGAGAGCACCACACAGAGAATGTTTCCTTTCTTCTCTCACCAGATGTTGAAATTAAATTAGACGAAGAAGGATTAGTACTGCCATATACAGTTGACGAAGATGTGCATAAAAGGTAAAGAAAACTGGTGTGGTTTTTATGTGATGAGACGTGGCGGGCTTGATAATCGATGCTATTTTCTCAAGGTGGGAGAGCTAACATGGTTCTGGAAGTAAAGACGCTAGAGTGCAGCAACCCAATTGTGGAAATTCTGTGTAACATAAACATTAATGTTAATAAACTTGAGTGCAGTTTCAGCATAGGAAAGGACAGCACACCCATGAGTTACTAAAAATAATGCTGACACACTGAAATAGCCAAATCCCCAGTAGACCCTTGCCACTAAAAATGTATAAATATTTTGGATTGTCTTAAAAATTAAGTTTCTCCCTCTTATGAGCTAAAGGGCTAGTATCCAAAATCTATAAAGAACTTATCAAACTCAAGAACCAAAAAACAGGGCACCTGGGTGGCTCAGTTGGTTAAGCGACTGCCTTTGGCTCAGGTCATGATCCCAGGGTCCTAGGATCAAGTCCCACATCGGGCTCCCTGCTCAGCGGGGAGTCTGCTTCTCCCTCTGACCCTCTTCCCTTTCGTGCTCTCTGTCTCTCATTCTCTTTCTCTCTCAAATAAATAAATAAAATCTTTAAAAAAAAAAAAGAACCAAAAAACAAATAATCCAGTCAAGAAATAGGCCAAAGACATGAGCAGACATTTCTCCAAAGAAGCCACAAATGGCCAACAGACACATGAAAAAATGCTCCACATCTCTTGGCATCAGGGAAATACAAATCAAAACCACAATGAAGTACCACGTCACACCAGTCAGAACGGCAAAAATTAATTGGTGGGAATGTAAGCTGGTGCGGCCACTCTGGAACACTGTATGGAGGTTCCTCAAATAGTTAAAAATAGAGCTACCTTATGACCCAGCAATTGCACTACTAGGTATTTATCCAAAGGATACAAACACAGTGATTTGAAGCGGCACCTGCACCTCAATGTTCATAGCAGCAATGTCCACAAAAGCCAAACTGTGGAAAGAGCCAGGATGTCCATCGACAGATGAATGGATAAAGAAGATGTGGTATATATACGCAATGGGATATTACTCAGCCGTCAAAAAGATAGAAATCTTGCCATTTGCAACAACATGGATGGAGCTAGAGGGTATTATGCTAAGCGAAATAAGTCAATCAGAGAAAGACAAATACCATATGATTTCACTCATGTGGAATTTAAGAAACAGGTGAACGTAGGGGAAGGGGGGAAAAAGAGGGATGCAAACCATAAGAGACTCTTAACTAGAGAACAAACAGGGTTGCTGGAGGGGAGGTGGGTGAGGGGATGGGATAACTGGGTGGTGGGCATTAAGGAGGGCACTTGATGGAATGAGCACTGGGTGTTATATGCAACCGACGAATCACTGAACTCTACCTCTGAAACTAATACACTATATGTTAACTAAACTGAATTTAAATAAAGAACTTAAAAAATAAAAAAATAAGTTTCCCCCTCCAATTTTTCAGGGTAGCACTGTGCATTGATGATCCAAAAAGATTTTCTCTGAATAGCAAACACTTACTGGGAAAGGAAGCTATTAAACAGAGACACCTGCGCTTGCTTGGTTACCACGTTGTTCAGGTATGAGTTCTCCTGTTTCCTTTGCTCTAAAACCAATCTTTTTTTTTTTTTAAGATTTTATTTATTTGACAGAGACACAGCAAGAGAGGGAACATAAGCAGGGGGAGTAGGTGAGGGAGAAGCAGGCCTCCTGCGGAGCAGGGAGCCCGATGCGGGGCTTGATCCCAGGACTCCGGGATCATGACCTGAGCCAAAGGCAGATCCTTAATGAGTGAGCCACCCAGCCGCCCCTCCAAAAGCAGTTTCTACTTTAGATTTGCTTTTCCCAGGGTGCTAGGTAGTCTGCCAGCCTAGTGGACCAAGAATCTCACGTCTAGTTTAAATGTCAACTTTGTTCATTAGGCTTAATCTCTTTATTTATATTTCGAAATACAGAACGTTCAGACCTTCTGTTTTCCAAAAGTGAGGCATCCCTGTATTCTCTATAAGCTATGCTGACCTCTGCTTCTAGAATTACTAAATTATTAGAATATCTGTTTTGCTTTCATTTCCCCGATTTAATGAATAGAAATAGACAAGAGGACCCATTAAAACCAGGATCCTCACCAACACTTATGTATTTATTTTTAAAGATTTTATTTATTTATTTGACCGAGACACAGCGAGAGAGGGAACACAAGCGGGTGGAGTGGGAGAGGGAGAAGCAGGCTTCCCGCAGAGCAGGGAGCCCGGTGCGGGGCTCGATCCCAGGACCCCGGGATCACGACCTGAGCCGGAGGCGGACGCCTAATGACTGAGCCACCCAGGCGCCCCTCACCAACACTTCTAATGCCTCAGCACTTGCTTATGTTCGCGGTATTGACGGCGCACCAAGGTCCCCTGTGAGGAGTCCTTGGTGAAGGTGCATGGAGCTGCCCAGCTGCCGGTCTGCTCTCCCATCTGGTGCCTTTTTTCCACTCCATATTTCACCTACATCCCTAGCCTAATTTTTCTAGAGATAACACGCCAGTGCGTGTTCAGAAACCTTTATTGTCCCTTCACCGCTTATAGGAGAAAGCGAAAACCCGTCTACATCTGAGCATTCGAGACCTTCCCCAGCTGGCCCGCGGCCAGACCCTCTGCTCCAAGCTTGGTGGCCTCTTGCCTGCCCCCCATCCCTCTCCATGCTCTCTTGCCTCTCTCCCTTTGCCCACCCTGCTTCCCGCATCAGACTGGCCTCCACTGCTCTGAGGATCCGGATTCTGGCTCCATCTCGGCCCCTGGCTCTGGTTCTCCTTCCACCGTCATCCGAAACGTGAGGCTCCGCCAGCGCAGGATTGTCAGTGTTCTCCACACGATCTGCTGCTGGTGTACTGAGCCCCGCCTGTGTGCCCGGTGCTGCTGGAGGTGCTGGGGGTGCAGGGCTGTGAGCTCTGCCCTCTGGGAGCCTACATGCCGCCGAGGGGGGAGGGCTCGAGAAACCAGAACACCGGGGTGCTTCAGAACGTGACAGATTATGATGTCTTTCTGTTATTTCCCTCTCTTTACAGATCCCCTATTACGAGATCGAGATGATAAAATCAAGAGTGGAATTGGTGGAGTATTTACAGAGAAAACTATTTCCTCAAAACGTGGGCGTTCGTTGGTAACAGGAAGGAATGCTGTCTCTAGGACTCAGAAAGTGACGAACTTGGGTTTTCATGGGACTCAGTACAAAAACAGAACGTACATTGTGAATTAGCCATTCGTGGACTGTGGTGATCTGGAAAGGGTCTAGTTTTCCTTACACCATGTATACACTTAACCAGTGGTAAATTTTAAATAAATTTTTATTTTTATTTAATACTATTGTAGGTACTTTTATACATGAAGCAATTGATCAAGTACAATAAAGGATCGAAATGAGTGTCATTATTTTTAAATCTTTGTTTTATGGTGGTTATTTGCTAACTGAAAATATTTTTTTTCAAAACCTTTGTTTCCTCTTGTAACAAATATAAGGAAGAAATCTTGTCTCCTATTTCCCTCTTTCATACTTGGTTAGAAGCAGTCCTATGTGGTAAGGAGAAGGATCAGTGGAAAAGAGACTAGGACTGTGGAAAGGAATGCGTCATTACAGAATTATGCAGAAATAACTCCTTAGTTAGTAAGAGAATGTTTTCCATCAGAACGGGAGCTATTTATCCTTTCTTTAAGGTGTAAAGATGTGAAAGTTAACTTATTTAGGTGGGATTTGGGGAGAGGCATTTGATAGAGAAGTTTCTGATTTTTGAATCGAATGGATCAGATTGTCTCCCAGTGCAAATGCGTCCTCGCCCCATTGGGGTCAGGTTAAAGTTTCGGGGGAGAAGAGGACGAGGAGGCCATCTGGTGGGGTGGAGAGAGCTCTGGAGTTGGGCACTCGGGCTCTTAACCAGCGAGTTCTGTGACCCTGGACAGGGAGACAGGCCGTGCCTTAGCCCGTGCTCGGTCTATGCCGAGCCCTTGCTGAGCTCCACAGCGGACCCTCCTGCAAGTCCCCAGCTCGTGATCTGGGTTTTGTTCCCACTTCGCAGGTTCGTGGACCAGCTCAGCGAGCTTGAGTGTTCTGCCCGTTTCATTCATCACAAGAGATGAAAGAAGGTTCCAGTCTAGTCTTGAGGTGCGGTAGAGTACAGTGGCTAATTCTCTAGCCTGGGTTTAAGCTCCAGCTTTCCCTCCTGTTAATGGGTGATCTTGGGCTTCTGCTGCCACAGGGATAATCATAAATAATAACAGGGTTGCGAATAGCTTTCTGGGACGGCCACAACAGTACCATAAAGGGGGTGGCTTAAAACAGCAGAAACTTACTTTCTCACGGTTCTGGGGGCTGGAAGTCTGAAATCTGTCAGCAGGGCCATGCTCCCTCCGCAGGCTCTGGGGGAGGATGTGTTCTTGCTTCGTCCAGCTCTTGGTGGCCCCAGGCATTCTTGGTGTGTGGCTGCGTCACCCCAGTTTGTGTCCATGTTCACATGGCTGTCATCCCTGTGTGTCTCTCTTCACGTGGTGGTCTCCCTGTGTGAGTGTTTTGGCCCCAATTCCCCTCTTTTTACAAGGACTCAAGCCATATGGGATCAGGGACCACCTTAATGACCTCATCCTAACTTGATGGAAACTGTGAAGACCCTGTGTCCAAGTAAGTCATAGTCACAGGTATTGGGGATTAGCGCAGGGTGGTGGGGGGAACAGGACACAATTCAACCCATAATACGTTTAGAATTAGTTAAAATACATAAAACACTTGGAAGAGTACCCAGAGCAGAGTAAGGCCACAGTCTGTCAGCTAGTGAAGGGCATGCCTCCAGCTGCAGAGAAGGAAGGACAACAGACGGAGGGAGGTGGGACAGGGGAGAGGTGCCTGGAGGCTGCCGTGTCCTGTGCCCACACGACCTCGCTGTCCCTTCCCCGGCCACCAGGCCAACCTCACTGCACCGCCCAGCTCTTCCCATGACTCCCTCATCCCTGGGCATGGACCAGCCTGAGACATGGTGAGAAAAGAGGGGAACGAGACCCAACCAATAGCCACACAAAGAGGTGGCGACAGTCTGCTCTAAACGCTGTGAGGAGAAAGTACGGCCCAAAACGTTCTTCTTCCACCTTTCCTCTTGGTGTGAATCCTCCTCCAGCAGGACCTTTTCTTCCTCACTGCTCTACTGGGAATCAGATTCACCCGTCCCCTGCCCTTGCAGGCCCATCCCCTGGTGGACTGCTGTCCCCTCGGCTCCCCCCTATCCCTCGTGCGTTCACCACATGTTTATTAAAGGCTCAGACGATGCCGGGCCCCCCTGAACGCTGCAGCTGCAGAGGGAGCAGAAAAGGGCCCAGCCTTGAGGGGCAAGGAGTCGAGTGAGGCGAATCAGGGCGCAGATGATGACAGGGACGAGCCGGCTGGCCCCCTGACGGGTGTGCAAGCCTCAGAATGCAGAACACCCCAGGCCTGCCTGGGGAGGGAAGGAAGGCTTTGTGGGGAGCCTTGTGAGCCCAAGTTTAGATGGAAGGGAGATGAGTCTGTGGGGTGCAGAGAGTTTCAGGCCTGGCCTGGCCGCAGAGCCCCCGGCACAAAGCACACAGGGCGGCCTCACCAAAGGAGGCCAGATGGACTGAACTTTGTTTTAAAGCAAATTTTAATCCTGGAAATGTGCATGTATGTCCTAAAGATCATTTACGCTAGTAAATAGATATAAGGTTTCCGGTTTCACCAACTGGAAGTGAATTTGACGCGCTCTGTAAAATGATAAATTCAAGTCCTCATCGACTCAATCCCAGGCCTCTGAGTTGAAATGTTTACCCATACAAGCAAAAGTGATGATATTGTTGGAATGACATATTCATTCCTATAGCTCTTGCTACCATACATCAAGGATACCTTTCAATATCTTGCCGTAGCTTTTCAAAAGTAAAAGCAAAGAAAATTAAAAAACAAAAAGTAAAAAGTTGCTCTACTTGCAAGCATAACCCCAGAAGCACCAGGGTGACATTCTTCAGGCCTTCCTCTAGGTGGCAGCAAAGCTCGGGACGCTCCCTGGGATGCTGCAGTTCAGAAGGGAATATTTCTGGACACTGGATCCTCCGTAGGTGCATGTAGGTGGGGCAGGGGGCAGGAGTCCTGGGAACACGGGGTGACCATTCTGCCAGAACAAAACACGCAGCTTTCCTTACCTTCCTCTAAGGAAGGAATGCACTTTGCCTGAACAAGGCCTACCCAGACATGGAGGGTAAACCGGACACGGGCCAGGAGATACCTGCTGGAAGGGGAGTTCCTTGGAGACCAGGACACTATCTGCATGTCCTTGTACGGCCATGTGTGTATGGAGACTTGGTAGACACCTATTAGGCGGAAGAAGAAATAGGAAGGAACAGAACTCAGCATGTTTGATAGGATTTTGGGAAGGCAGAAGCCCTCCATTCCCTCTAAAAATGCTGCGCCCACCCGGAGACTTCATGTTCAAGGGCAGTGAGGGCACCTGGGCTCGGTGGTGGTGGTGAGCTCTGTGAATTAGCCTCCAAAAGCTGAGATTTTCCCAAACTTGAACATGCCCAGACGCTTTGGAGTCTAAAGGCTTCGTGCAGGTTAGTGAAATGAGGCACACCTTGTCACTTGTTTGGCCAGCCCTAGAAAGTAGTAAATGCTCAGAAAGACTTGTGGCCTCTTGTTATTGGTACATGTGTTACATTGCGTTCTCAGTTCAAGTTCACTATTACAGCTAGGGGTGAGTGTGCACGTGGGGAATGCTCTCAAGGAGGAACACGACTGGCTGGTGAATCCTGGGCGTACCACCGTGAGCCTGGACAGCTGCTTTTGTTAATTAGCATCAAGGATATTGTGCTGAGTATCCCCCTCCTATAAAATCTTCGCTGTCTGAAACCATATCAATAAGAACAGGAACATCCTTCTGCTGCCTGCAGGATCTGAGCAACGTCAGTGACTCTGACACAAAGAAGTAGCCTCCATTTCCATCTGGATGCAGAGCTTCATCAGGGCTGGGGGGAGTGGTGAACACAACATCCCACATTTATCTTACCTTTGGGGACCCTGAGTCGCCTTCTCCAGCAGGGCCCAACGTTAAGCCCTTTTACACGCAAACCTGCTCTGCTGCGAGTATCTCCAACCCAGCTTCATTCAACTTTGCCCCAACCCACCCTTTCCCGAATCCTCTGATCACCCCAGCCAGCCCTCCATTTGGCTCCCCTGGGGTGCTGTCTCCCTTGCCTCAACAGTCAGTAGGCCTAACTTCACGTTGGTGGTCTTTGGCTGTTGGACTCCATCATAAGACATTTTACCTTAATACACGTGCAATCCTGTCTCAGAAGACAAGTGTCTGTCTGCCACCCTGTCCCAGAGTCCCTGACATCTAGTGCACACTCTGTGATATTTTGGGTTCCAATGATTGCAAGAAACAATATCTCTTAATTACTCTACTGTTTTTTCCTTTAATTATGGAAAATTTTGAATACACAAAAAGTTTAGAGAAAGAAAGGTGTAATGAATGAATCCATGTGAGTCCTTTTATTCAGCAAGAAAAATCAGCAGAATTTTCCAATCATGTTTCATCTGTTTATTCCCTTTATTTTCCTTTTTTTTTTATTGGAAGGTTTATAGAGAAATCCAAACTATCATATACTTTTACCCTAAGTACTTGGGTATGCATCCACCACCATGAACAGTTTTGTTTTTTTTTTTTTAAATCTAACTATTCTACCACTATTACAAGTAACAAAACTAATAATTATTCTCTATGGTCACTTAGTAGCAGTAAGGGGCATCTCCAAAAACATCCAGCAGCTTACATCATGTGTGATGGTGAAGCACTGGATATTCTCCCTGAAACCAGGAATAAGAGAGAAATCTACTTTTATGAGTCTCATTCAACATCATACTGGAAGTCATGCCACTCCAATGAAAAATTTAAAAATGTAACCATATGGGAAAGGTAGAAAGAAAACCATATTCACAGATGACATGATTAGAAAATTCCAAAAAATCTATAAGAAAACTTTGTAGAATGAATACATAAGTTTGGTGAGGTCTTGGGATGCAAGACTGCAACAGAAAAAACTACATTTAGAAAGCAGAAATTGTAAAAATATTATCTACATTAGCTCCAAAAACAATCAAATATGCAGGTATACATCTATAGAAAATATACACGGGATCTGTGTTGGAAAACTACAAAATTTTGAAGAAAGACACGTTAAAAGACTTAAATGTATGGGGAGACATAGCATGTTCCGGGATTGACAGATTTGATGCAGTAAACGCATCAGTTCTGTTTAAATGGTGTAAGGATTAACTGCAGTCCCAATCAAAATCCCAGCAAGACTTTTTGTAGATACAGATAAGCTGTTCCTCAGACTTATATACAAAGATGGAAAAGTTAGAAGGTTGGCACCTTCCCACCATCCTTAGCTTGCATGCTCAGGTCTTCCAGGCACCCCTCCCTTCTAGGTAGACTCTGTGTCACAAATGTCCTCCCACCCCCAAGGGTTCTCAGCATGCATTTTGCACTTCAGAACATCTGAGGGGCTCCCGGGTGGCTGAGTCAGTTGAGTGTCTGACTCTTGATTTTGGCTCAGGTCATGATCTTACAGGTTAAGAGATTGACCCCATGTTGGTCCCTGGGCTAGGCTGGAGTCTGCTTGAGATCCTCCCTCTGCCCCTCCCTCCGGTCAAGCTCTCTCTCTCTCTCAAATAAATAAAGTCTTTCAAAAATTAACATTGAAGAACATTTGAGATATCTTTATCATCTCTGCAAACGTTCCTTCATATTTGGAATGGCTGTATAATTGCCTTTCATGGATGAACCGTGATTTCTATTAGAAGCCCCTATTCTTTAATATTTATTGAAGGATAGTCAATACACAATGTTATATTAGTTTTAGGAGCACAACTTAGTGATTCAACAATTCTGTACATTACTCAGCGCTCTCCAGGAGAAGTGTACTCACCATCTGTCCCCATACAGAGTTACTACAATACCATTGCCTGTATTCCCTATGCTTACTTTTTAAATTTCTAGACTTATTTATTTTAGAACTGGAACTTTCGAGCTTTTCATAGTCTTCATCTCTATTTTCCATCCCCCACCCCCTTCCTCTCTATCAAATCAACCAAGGAGATCCTTCACATTAGAAAGAGAAAGGACAAAAACTGTATTATCATCTCAACAGTTGCACAAAAAGCATTTGACAAAGTATAGCATCCTTTCTTGATGAATATTCTCCACAGTGTAGGGACAAAGGGAACATACCTCAATATCATAAAAGCCATATATGAAAAGCCCACAGGGAATAGCATTCTCAGTGGGGGAAAAACCGAGAGCTTTCCCCCTAAATCAGGAACAGGACAGGGATGTCCATTCACCACTGCTGTTCAACATAGTACTACAAGACCTAGGCTCAGCAATCAGACAACAAAAGAAATAAAAGGCATTCAGATCAGCAAAGAAGTCAAACTTTCACTCTTCACAGATGATATGATACTCTATGTGGAAACCCAAAAGTCTCCACCCCAAAATTACTAGAACTCATACAGGAATTCAGCAAATTGGCAGGATATAAAATCAATGCACAGAAGTCAGTTGCATTTCTATACCCTAACGAGACAGAAGAAAGAGAAATTAAGGAATCGATCCCATTTACAATTGCACCAAAAGCCATAAGATACCTAGGAATAAACCTAACCAAAGAAGTAAAATTTTTGTACTCTGAAAACTACAGAACACTTATGAAAGAAATTGAGACAGACACAAAAAATGGAAAAACATTCCATGCTCATGGACTGGAAGAACAAATATTGTTAAAATGTCTATGCTACCCAGAGCAATCTACACATTCAATTGAATCCTTATCAAAATACCATCAACATTTCTCACAGAGCTGGAACAAACAATCCTAAAGTTTGTATAGAACCAGAAAAAAAACAAACAAACAAATCGAATACCTAAAGGAATGTTGAAAAAGAAAAGCAAAGCAGGCGGCATCACAATTCCGGACTTCCAGCTCTATTACAAAGCTGTCATCATCAAGACAGTATGGTACTGGCCAAAAACAGACACATAGATCGATGGAACAGAATAGAGAGCCCAGAAATGGACCCTCAACTCTATGGTCAACTAATTTTCAACAAAGCAGGAAAGAATATCCAATGGAAAAAAAAGACAGTCTCTTCAATAATTGGTGTTGGGAAAATTGGGACAGCCACATGCAGAAGAATGAAACTGGACCATTTCCTTTCACCACACACAAAAATAGACTCAAAATAGCTGAAAGACCTCAATGTGAGACAGGAATCCATCAAAATCCTACAGGAGAACACAGGCAGCCAACTCTCCCACCTTGGCCACAACAACTTCTTCCTAGACGCGTCTCCAACCGCAAGGGAAACAAAAGCAAACGTAAAGTATTGGGACTTCATCAAGATAAAAAGCTTTTGCACAGCAAAGGAAACAGTAGACAAAGCCAAAGACAACCTCCTGAATGGGAGAAGATATTTGCAAATGTTTTATCAGATAAAGGGCTAGTATTCAAACTCTATAAAGAACTTATCAAACTCAACACCCAAACCCAAAAAATTCAGTCAAGAAATGGGCAGAAGACATGAAGACATTTCTCCAAAGAAGACATACAAATGACCAACAGACACATGAAAAAATGCCCAACAGCACTCGGCATCAGGGAAATACAAATCAAAACCATGATGAATTAGGGCCTCATGCCTGTCAGAATGGCTAAATTTAACACCAGAGGAAACAACAGGTGTTGGTGAGGATATGGAGAAATGGGAACCGTCTTACACTGTTGGTGGGAATGCAAACTGGTGTAGCCCCTCTGGAACACAGTACGGAGGTTCCTTGAAAAGTTAAAATTAGAGCTACCCTACAACTCAGCAACTGCACTACTAGGTATTTACCCAAAGGGTACAAAAATACTAATTCAAAGGGATATAGGAACCCCAATGTTTACAGCAACATTATCTACAATAGCTAAATTATGAAAAAAGTCCAAATGCCCTTGGACTGATGAATGAATAAAGAAGATGTGTGTGTATATATATATATATATACAGACAGACAGACAGACACACACATAATGGAATATTACTCAGCCATCAAAAAAATGAAATCTTTTCATTTACAATGATGTGGATGGGGCATTTCATGCTAAGTGAAATATGTCAGAGAAAGACAAATACCATTTGATTTCACTTACATAGAATTTAAGAAACAAAACAGATGAACATGGTGGGGGAGAGAGAGAGAGGCAAACCATAAAACAGACTCTTAACTGGAGAGAACACACTGAGGGTTGTTGGAGGGAGTTGGGCGGGGATGGACTAGATGGGTGATGAGTATTAAGGAGGGCACTTGTGATGTGTCCTGGGTGTCATATGTAAGTGAAGAATCGCTAAATTGTACTCCTGAAGCCATTATTACACTGTATGTTAACTGACTGGAATTTAAATAAAAACTTCAAACAAACAAACAAACCCACAAGGTGAACAAACCAAAATTAAGTTTACATTTATGTGTTGATTTGTAAGTCTGATGTTTAAAGTGACTAACCGCGGGGAGCCCCATCAATTTAATGAGCCAGGCTACAGGAACCTGGTGACAGCAAGCTCTCTAGATCCACTGACAGCACATCACCGGGGAAGAGGCGTCCAGGGAAGTGCAGTCTTGCCCAGTCCCGCCTCGGACCGCCGGCATGCCCATGATCTGGCTACGATGGTCTGGAGGACAGCAGTGATGGCCCCGTTCCACGCCCAGAGTCACACTGCTGCTCTCACCCTTAACAGCCCTGGTGGGGGTCTGGAAACCAGTGCAGGCAGGATATCTGGGCTTGCAGGAGCATCCTTCCATATCCCTGCGTTCATAATGCCCTTTGTAACATCTCTGGATGTACAGCTCGCCTCCTATCTGGTTACAAACGTGGGTGTGTTTACATCCATCCCTTTTACTCTCAGCCTTCATCAGGCCAACCAAATGTGGAGAAGCCCTCCATCCAAGTCATTTCTCAGAGGTTTGAAAGCCTGGGAATTAAAGCCCTATTATGTTGAGCCACTTAAGTTGAGTTTACACTGGCATTTAAAAACAAAATAATTGTCAAAGCTTTTAAATGCGAAATGGAGATGTTAAGGTTGTTTTATTTTATTTATATTTATGATTATTTTTTTAAACCTTGTTTTGAAACCTCCGCATACGCCGTGAGGCTTTGTGCTTAGGTCGGGCCTGGCTCCATCTCCGAATGGTCCGGAAGCCCCGCGGAGAAAAGCTTTCCGCCACACAGGTTTCCCCCGCCTTCCCGCTGGATCACCCAGGGGCCGTGTCACCTGCAAGGCACCGAACCCTGCCACATCTCCGCTCTCCCATCGGCGCAAAGAACGAGAGGCTCCTTTCTGGCCTGAAGCATCGATGGGTTTAGGAGAGCTCCTGATAAACATCACATGCCACGTGAAATGTGCTGAAGCCACGGCTGCACCGCTAACGAGACACGACGGCTTCTTGGCTTTCTCCTTCCCTGGCGGGCACTGACAAAGAGTTCTTCCCACTGGGCCTCCCCATGCTCACGTCTGTCCAGATGTCGGAAGACATGCCACAGGCTTCCAGCTGCAGTTTGGACTCGGGACCTCCCACACTCCTGAGAACGGCCCGCGGGTGCTTGCCCCCAGGTCCCAGTGGGGCTGTGCAGGCAGCAGAGGGCCTGGTGGGCGAGCGCAGCGGGCTGCATAGACAGTCACGAGGGCACTGGCAGTCAGCCCGAGCCGGAGCGGGGCAACGGGATCCAGCCGAAGTCAGCCACAAACCCGTGATGCTGCGGTGGGACCAGGAGGAGGAATACGGCACAAGGCGGAGGCGGTCACCTGCAGCACGGAGCTGAGCTGATCCCCTGCAGTTACCCCCGAGGGAGTGTGCATGCTTGTGCGATTAACTCACTTCCTTGGAAAGTAACTGTTCATTCTTGTCCCTTTCCCTTCTGCACAGAACTTTGCAAGGACAATTTACAGACATGAGGGACTTATATTAGACTCTTTGACTTTCGATTCCACTCATGCCTGGAATACATAATAGGATCATATAGGGGAAAAAAGTTTTTAAAGGAACTAAGACCTCTAAATAATGGAAACTGGCAAAGTCTGTCTTACCTAGTCTCTCCTCTCTGCCCGGCAGACTCGGGGGTGGCGGCCTTCCTCGGGGCTACCACTCACCTCCTGAACCAGCACCATACCTCAGTAGATGGCAATGCCTTCTGCTGTGGACCCCAGGGCTTCACTGACCCTGAGACGCCTACAGGGGAGCGTGCACAGCACCACACAGGGGTCACACCCAGTCAGGAGTCAAAGAATCAAAGAATCAAGGGCAGGCCTCAGCCCAGGAGGGCTGTGGACAAGAGATAAAAGGCACCTCCAGGTCGATCTGGCAGGCAATTCTGAGAGCTCACTCCACGCTGCTCAGAAAGTTCTGAGATGCCCTCTGTCATGACCTTGATAATTCATCCTTATACCGACTTTCCTGCTCCTCTCACTCCTCTGGTCCTTCATTCACACTCTCTGGGATTATTTCCCAAATAAGGCAAGCATCAAGCCCTTGTCCTAATTGTTCCTTTAGAGGGAACCAAGTTACAGCAACTGTATTCCTTTATTTAGTCACCAAATATTTATTGAGGACCTACTGTGTGTCAACTATTTGTTGAGGACCTGCTTGAGCCATCAAAGAAGAAAAAGATGTGTCGCCTTGCCCTCCAGAGCTCTCAGTCTAGTGCATAATTAAATGTCACCTACTGAAACAAGGAAGAGATTCACATCCCTAGACGGTGGAAAAGGATTTTATGATCAAATTATTTCAGTGTCAGTTTAAGCCACCTTCTCAAGCTAATTGGTGTCAGCTACCTTCCACCTTCCACACCATGATACTGGATTACCTATGCAAGGTTTGCCAAGTCTAATGACCAACTGACCACCTCTGTAGGTCTTTAAAAGAGGTTGGAGAGGCTGAGAGAGGTAATAGATTATAAGAGCTTTTTTTTTTTTTTTTTTCCCCTATGCTGGTGCTTTTATGAGGACTTCTGCCCACGGAGGGGAAGGATGAGAGACACTTTCCCTTCAATTCACATGAAGGAGAGGTGGTGGTGCTCTGTCTCCAAGCTCTAAGGACATATCAACCTTTCATGAGATGTCCCCTGGAGCTTGAGGACCAGGTGGACTGGTGTCTGACCCTTGTCTGATTCATGTCCAACTCATCTGTCCTGCCAAGCAAAGAGGTGGGTATTAGGGCAAAGAAGGCACATGGGGTTCTCAGACCTCATGGGGGCCCATGAGACAGAGTGGTGGCTCAAAGTCCTGTCCTGAAGTACCTCCAGGGGACACCAGGAGACCTCAGCATGGAGGTGCCACCTTGTGCCTTGGCCTGACAGGTCTCTAGCCACCAGGCTGCGTCAAGGAATTGCAAAGAGATCCCTAGTAAGAGGGGGTGGATGAGAAGGTAAAGGGCTGTCCAGAGACCTTTCAGTCTGGTCCCCACCTACCTGTGCACCTTCCCTTCCTCCCAGTCTCCTCCTCATGAAGCTCCACCCCCCTCTTTTCTTGCTGCCCTTGGAGCACGTCAAGATTGTTCTGCCTCAGGGGCCCCACAGTTGCTCTTCCCTCTGCTTGGAAGGGACTTTCTGGTAGACTTTTGCAAGTCTGGCTCTTCATCATTACATTTCTGCTCCACTCTCACCTCCTCACAGAGGCTGGCCTTTGCAAGCACCTGGTTAAAGTACTTCCCCAGTCTTTGTCATCTTCTTGCCGTTCCCCTCCCTCACTTTTATGAATCGTGAGTTTCTGCTCCATGAACTTTAAGCCAAGGGAACAGGCCTGTTGAGCCAGCATTCAGATCTAAGACCTACAACCACGTTGGTAGAGGGGGCCTAGAGCCCTAACCAGAGCCGCGGACACGCTGATTTGATTCATGGAGTTTTACACCCCCACCGGCCTGATCCGTAACTCCCAGCCACATGTGGGCACCCTGCCCTTGCACTGTGGCTAGCGACACATGTTAAAACAATCATGTTTTGGACAAACTGCGCAGAATAAATATCGCATTACAATGAATTTCACCTGTGTCTTTTACCTTTTCGGCGTGGTTACCAGACCGTTTTAAGTTACCTGTGTGCTCCCATCGCGTTCCTACTGCGCGGCGCTCTGGACCCTCGTTAGGTGGTCTTTTCCCTTCTACCAGCGGACTGTAAGCCCCGCGTGGCCTCCTGCGGCGCGGCTCAAGGACGCGCCTCCAAGGTCGGCGCCCAGGAGGTGCGCGGTCAGGAGCCGGCCCGCGAACGGGCGGTCGGTGCGTGACCGAACTACGCTGCGTGGAGGCGGTCAGCAGGTCGGGACGTGCTGATCCCGGCGGCATCTCCCACCGGGAACCCCGACGCTGCCGCCGTGCAGCTGGGGCTCCGAGGACGCACCCAGAGAGCGCACCCAGAGAGCGCACCCGAGGCGCGGGAAGGGGGGCGCTGCGCGGAAGAGAAGCTCCGGGAGGGGGGCAGGGGTCCCAGCCCGGCGTCGCGCGGCCGCGGTTTCCAGGCAACGCGGAACGCGGCCGCCCGGCTGCTGGCAGCGGGCAGGCTGGGCCCGACATCGGCGGGCGCGAGCCCTCACCGGGGTGGCATGGAGGACGACGGAGAGGAGGAGCTCCCCGCCGCCACGCTGCGGGGCAAGCCCCGGCCGCCGCCCCTCTCGGCGCTGTCCGCCTTCAGCTACATCCCGCCGCGGCGCCTGGACCCCAAGGAGCACAGCTACTATTACCGCCAGGCCAAGGTGAGCCGCACCGGGGAGGGGCTGCGCGGCGGGGCGCGGCGGGGCGGGGGCTAGAGGACGGGGGATAGGGGCGGGGCTTCACTGCCACGGAGGGGCGGGGCGAGGAGGTAGAGGGGATGGGGAGGGGCTGCAGAGAGGGGAGGGGGCTGGAGGAGGGAGATGGGGCGGGGCTTCACTGCCAGGGAGGGGCGGGGCGAGGAGGTAGAGGGGATGGGGAGGGGCTGCAGAGAGGGGAGGGCGCTGGAGGAGAGGGATGGGGCGGGGCTTCACTGCCAGGGAGGGGCGGGGCGAGGAGGTAGAGGGGATGGGGAGGGGCTGCAGAGAGGGGAGGGGGCTGGAGGAGGGAGATGGGGGCGGGGCTTCACTGCCAGGGAGGGGCGGGGCGAGGAGGTAGAGGGGATGGGGAGGGGCTGCAGAGAGGGGAGGGCGCTGGAGGAGAGGGATGGGGCGGGGCTTCACTGCCACGGAGGGGCGGGGCGAGGAGGTAGAGGGGATGGGGAGGGGCTGCAGAGAGGGGAGGGGGCTGGAGGAGGGAGATGGGGGCGGGGCTTCACTGCCAGGGAGGGGCGGGGCGAGGAGGTAGAGGGGATGGGGAGGGGCTGCAGAGAGGGGAGGGGGCTGGAGGAGGGAGATGGGGGCGGGGCTTCACTGCCAGGGAGGGGCGGGGCGAGGAGGTAGAGGGGATGGGGAGGGGCTGCAGAGAGGGGAGGGGGCTGGAGGAGGGAGATGGGGCGGGGCTTCACTGCCAGGGAGGGGCGGGGCGAGGAGGTAGAGGGGATGGGGAGGGGCTGCAGAGAGGGGAGGGCGCTGGAGGAGAGGGATGGGGCGGGGCTTCACTGCCAGGGAGGGGCGGGGCGAGGAGGTAGAGGGGATGGGGAGGGGCTGCAGAGAGGGGAGGGGGCTGGAGGAGGGAGATGGGGGCGGGGCTTCACTGCCAGGGAGGGGCGGGGCGAGGAGGTAGAGGGGATGGGGAGGGGCTGCAGAGAGGGGAGGGGGCTGGAGGAGGGAGATGGGGGCGGGGCTTCACTGCCAGGGAGGGGCGGGGCGAGGAGGTAGAGGGGATGGGGAGGGGCTGCAGAGAGGGGAGGGCGCTGGAGGAGAGGGATGGGGCGGGGCTTCACCACCAGGGAGGGGCCGGAGGGGGGATGGGGGCGGGGCTGCAGAGCCGGGGAGGGGCGGGAGGAGAGGCGGGATGGGGGAGGGGATTCGTTGCCAGGGAGGGGTCAGAGGAAAGGGGGATGGGGGCGGGGCTGCAGAGCCGGGGAGGGGGCGGGAGGAGAGGCGGGATAGGGGCGAGGCCGTCCTGCGGCGTAGCGGGGCTGGGGTGGAGCTGCACTGCCGGAGACCGGACTGGGGCCTCACTGCTAGGGACCAAGGCTGTGGAGAAGACCAGGGGAGGGTGGATGGGGCGGGGCTGCAGGCCGGTGCTACACTTCGGGGCAGTCCGAAGGTCTGGGCTGCAACTCTGGCCTGGGACTGTCGGGCAGGGCTGCAGGGGGGTAAGGGGTGGAGGGTGGGGGCCTGTGCGGGTGTGCGCAGCCTGTGAGGGCGCAGGGGCGGGGCGTGAGGAGACATCAGAGTCACAGGGGGAAAGAAGGTGGGAGAGCGGCCTTGCTCCGGGGCACCTTGACCCCAAAGAGTACAGTTACCAGGACGGCAAGAGTAAGGTGGACCTCCCCCTCACCTAGAGAATGAGCGGGGGCTGAGCCCTGTGTGTGTGTGTGTGTTGGGGTGGGGGGCATGCTCGCTGGAATGAGGCGCTGGGGTTAAGGCATACAGGGTAGGGTGGGGTGTGAGAATGCTCAGCCTGGTGTCCTGAGCTATTTGGGGGGTGAGTTAGGTCAACCGTTCTTAGGGGAAGGGTTTGGGAGCCTCTGGGCTTCCAGAACTACTACCAGGGGCAAGGTGACCGCTCTGCCCTGGATCTGGGAGAGGGTCTCGGGAGTGCCAGGGCTGTGCAGTGGACTGAGGCAGGACTCCCTCTGGGGTCAGCCTGACAGCCCTCAGTGCAGCGACTGTGCCCAGAAAGTCACGGGTACGGACACCCCTGGAGAGCCCCCTGCAAACCGAAGATGACCACGAGGCAGATCTGGACAGCCGCCCGTGGGGAGCACAGGGCAGGAAGCCCTCATTAGATTCTCACCTGGCTGCAGCAGGCACGTGGGCCTCATGGGGAAAGCCTGCTGGTCTGTATAGGCCATTTTGAAACAGAAGCTGGAAAGGAACCCAAAGGAAGAGAATCAAATTCAGAACTTGTCAGGAGTCCTCTACTCCTTTCATCAAGCCATTTTCCCTAAATGTCTCCAGTGTGTCTTGGGGTTCAGGGTGCAGGGGCATCATTATTCAAAGATGCTCAGCCTGCAGAGACAGTGAGTGGCTCAGGGAGGGTGGAGGTGAGCCAAGTGCCTGGGAGGACAGAAGTCTTTCCCTCATTATGTGTGAGTTATTCCCACAGAATCCGTCCTTCCTTTCCTTTCCTCCTCCCCACCCACAAGCCCTAGAGCCCCGGTGAATCCCCATTCAGATCAGGTCAGCGCACACTGGAGGACTTGCCATGCATGAAATGTAAGAGAACATCATGGAGCTTAGTCTTACAAACACAAGCAGTGCTTTCTAGTTTAAACAACTGTTACAGGTTGAATTGTGTCCCCCTAAAATTCTCATGTTAGAGTCCTCATCCCAAGCACCTCAGAATGTGACCTTATTTGGAGATGGGGTCTTTATGGAGGTAATCCAACTAAAGTGAGGTCATGGAGGGTCCCTCATCCAGTATGACCAGTGTCCTTATGAAAAGGGGCAATTTGGACCCAGAGACAGACACGCACAGATTGAAGATGGTGGGAACGGACGGGGAGAAGATGGCCTTCTACAAGCCAAGGAGAGAGGCTGGGAATAGCTCTCCCCTCGCCCCTCAGGAGGAACGAACCCTGTGGACACCCTGATCTCAGACTTCCAGCCATCAGAATGGTGAGACAGTACATTTCTCTTGTTTAAACCCCCCAGTCTGGGTGCTTTGTTTTAGCAGCCCGAGCAAGCTAACACATAACCCTTGGCCAGGGGGATCTCATATCTGTTAGCACCTCTCTGTTTGGCTTTGAGCAATACGGAAGGACGGGAGGACGGAAGGAAGAAAGGGGACATCTGCAGCACGCTGTCCTTGCAGCCCTGGTGCCTATGCTCCTAAGCATGAATATCCACCAGGTATGAACACTGGGGAGGTTCTGAGCAATGGTGCCCAACCTCATTGCCACGAGGGACCTCATATTTTTTCCTCCCATGAGAAATATGGTTTTTTTTTTAAAGATTTTATTTATTTATTCATGAGAGACAGAGAGAGAGAGAGGCAGAGGGAGAAGCAGGCTCCCAAGGAGCAGGGAGCCTGATGTGGGACTCGATCCCAGGACGCTGGGATCATGACCTGAGCTGAAGGCAGACGCTTAACCATCTGAGCCACCCAGGTGCCCGAGAAATATGTTTTGAAAGAACTTTTATCTGTAAATAATTTCATGTATTAAATGAATTTTACAATTTAAGCATGCAAAACCTGTATCATTGCCAATTTATGACTCATGCAGAGCATTCCTGCACAGCATGAGAGAACCAGCCGAAAGGCCAGGAATCTCCGTGCTTAAAGTTGGTCCATGCTGTTTTATTGAGAGAACATAAATTTTGTCTGGCTTCCTGACAAAATGAAAAAAAGTTACAAATACATCATTTTATGTGTGCCTTTGAGGAGTCCTATTAAGTACCACTTTGAGACTATGGAGAAATAAGATAAAAGACTAAAACAGATGGGGGTCAAGATACATATTTATCAGAGATAAAAGCCAGGTTGCAGGTTCCTGCTAAGAATTCTGGGTAAAAATTGATTGCGGACACTGTAGCTCTGAATCAGGTAGATATACCTACCCGGCCACTGCAGCTGTGGGCCCCAGAAAAAGCAGAGCTGAACCCCCACCCCCTGTGGGCCAGGTACTGCCAACAGGAAACGAGCAGAATTGGACATGGCAGGTCCAGTTTATTCCTAAATGCACCAATCTGATATGTGACTCTACCTTTCTGGGGACAAGACGCAGAGAGATGCCTGAGGTATGAGGTGCCCGCGGCTCTGTACTTAGAAGGAAATCAGGCGTAGGCAAGAAGTATGCCCCTCTAATTCAGGGGTCTGCACACAAAGGCCCTTGGGCCAAATTTGGCCCACTACCTGTTTTAATAAAGTTTTATTAGAACACGGTCCCATGCTCATTCATTTAGTAGTATCTGTGGCTACCACCAGAGTTGAGTAGTTGCAACAGGAAACCATGTGACCTGAAAGCCTAAAACAGTGACTATCTGTCTCTTTACACAAAACGTCCGCCAACCCCTGCTCTGATAGATTACTGTCCCTGGAAGTTAGGAATGGGCCTTCGAATGAATGAATGCAAAACAGACTTTATGAAAAAAAAATTCGGTACAGTTTTGATAACTGGGGTCACAAGCAAATTCAAATCCTGAAGTCTTTAGTGTCACACAGAAGAAAATGATGTAGCAGAAATATTAACACCTGAATAAAAGAGCCGTAAAGGCCGCAAGAAAAACAAAAGGCATTTCAAAGTACATTTACTGGATAGCCGCCAATGGTAATAACCTGCTCCTGGGGATTATATGAACTAGTATTTAATCGGCTGGGGGGCTGCAGAAGCTGATTCTCTACCGTGAGATCAGTTGGACTGAAGAGGATGAGCTTTGTATCACAAATTTGCTAGAGGACTCAGCTGCCTCTCAGTTAACTGTGAACCCAGGCTGCACCCAAAGCTGAGAACAAATTGGCAGAATTAGCTCTTAAGTCAATTACTGTGGGACACACTCAGTGATCAGTTAG